GTAGAACTTTTTTATATTTTATTTATAAACAAGCCGCAACTTCGTCGGCGTTTTTTCTAAAAGTTACTTTTTAGTAGATCAGCTACCCGCCAATAAAAGTCCCATCGAAATCGGTCCAGCCGTTTCAAAGATTAGCCAGTACAAACAGACATACACACAAAAATTTAAAGTGTTTTTTTTTGGATATATGTATTGTATCGTATATATATTCATATGCATGCAGTAAGATGCAGTTATTGCGATATCACAAACAGACAGTCCAATTTTATTTATCTGTATAGACAATACTCTTTATACATCCATGATTAATTATTATGAGGAACTCGAAAACACAACCGAAACGAAAACATGATTAATTATTTACTATATCCCACGAAAGTTACAATATAAACATTTTATTTAAGCGAAAGAGGTATGTAGGAATCGTAGTAATTGGCGTTCCGTAGTCTCTACCTACCCCCATGGGAGATAGGCGTGAAGTTGTGTATGTATAAACTCATGATAAGTTTCATAAGCATCAAATTGTAGAATCAAAGCTTATCATCATGACGAAAGTATTTAATTCCAGTAGCGTAGTATTGCCGACTGAAAAATCTCAATAACACTTTAAAATTTGTTGGTTTTATTAGCCATAACGATACCAAGTGGTGATATGTTGATTTCTTATGTTGATATGTTTGGAATCAAATCTATCTACTATATATCTATTACTAGCTACTTCCGCGCGGTTTCACCCATTGGTCGTAGTGTTTTATAGCCTATCGCCTACCTCGTTAAGTACACTATCCAACACAAAAATAATTATTCAAATCGTATCAGTAGTTCCGGAGATTAGTGCGTTCAAACAAACGAACAAAGTCATCAGCTTTTTATAGGACATGGAAACCTTACGGCTAATAAAAATACAATTAAATATATAAAAAAACAAAAAGTACAGAGGGCATACTAAATTAACTACAAATTGCGGGTTACTCACGTGAATATACTGAGAAAAACTCTACTAGTTTCGAACCACAGAGGGGTTCTTCCTGAGTAGGCTGCGCGTCATCGCCGCGACCGCGCACGCTGCTCACGAGGAAGACCCCTAGAAAAGAATTATTCTTGTATTTTACGTATTGGTTGTATCAGTTAGGATACAGTACGTGCACATGCTAGTGCTATTATTTCATTATCCCGACATCCCGTTGTGTAATGGCTGACCACGGTCGTATGTATTTACATTCTACCATTAAAATAAATTGCACAGATTGCATGCCGTAACCACTGTCTCGTTTCATATTTCTAGCAGAAGCACGAATATTATACGATTGTGTCTATATTAAAACTTTCGTGAGACATACTAAATTCTATCCTATCCTATGTGTATGTATGTGTGTGTTATTTGTATGTGTGTGTATATTTTCGGTTTACTCAAGTAACTGTTTGACGAGCAACTCGACTAGTTACATTGTACAGGGGCATTGAGTGCTGTAATGTGCACTTCTGCATACCCCTTCGGGGATAAATGGCGTGAAGTTAAGTTGTAGTAGTAACTTGACATGTTGTAGAGTATGTTACACGATGTTATCATGTTACACAATGTGGTATAATGTTAGAGGTATATAACTGCTGTGTGGGAGCACCTTATAGTCTGCTCCAATGAATAGTAATTCCATTCAAAACATACCCCTGCATGTACCTAACAGATGATATAATTTTAAACATGAATGTAGTACAATGATCAAATGGCCTTGACCTCAAATCGAAGTCCATATTTACCTCATCCACGTCGATTCCAACATCATAACATGAAATCATATTTTACACTAGCTACTTCCGCGCGGTTTCACACGCTCTGCACAGCTCCTATTAGGCGCAGCGTGATGTTTTATAGCCTATAGCCATCCTCGATAAATGCGCTATCCAACACAAAAAGAATTATTCAAATCAGACTTGTAGTTATAGAGAAAAGCGCGTTCAAACAAACAAACAAACAAACAAAAAACAAACTCTTCCGCTTTATATAATAGTTTAAGATAATATATAAAATAACATCGACAATATATTTGTAGACATTATTCAAAATCATGTTCGTAGCAAACACCATAACAACGATCTGTTCTAGAATATTGTTATTACCTAAATACCGTTGATGAAGAACAACGTAACTACACGTTGGTTTTAACACTGTGCAGTGTACAAGCGTTGCCAACTGATCGCAGTTCGTATAAATAAACAGCGGTGTCCGATATTTGAAGCAGGATTCCTTGACAATATTTCTATTTTGATAAAAAAGTATTAAAAATTCGAAAAGTGAGTTTGTGTATGTATGTTTGTTACTCAATCACATCAAAACGGCTGAAGGGATCGGCATCGGCCAAACGCCACTTTAGCACTTGTCTACAAAGAGAGTAGAAAATTAAATGTATGGGGATGACATCGAATCCATATAATTTGGTTTTCTATTCTACCTCTACAAGTAGACAAACGCGAAATGGCATTTGGCTACAGCTGCAAGATAGAATATGGTCCAAAATAACACATAGGATACATTTTGTCCCACGGAAACGTAGCCAAAGCCATTGATAGAAGATAGTTATGCTGAGTACGCTGTATTCGCTAGTATCTATTATATAAAATATATTTTAAAAAACGTTGCCTCACACTAGGATTTTCTACTCCGTCATGGGTGTATATGCGTTTACAAACATACAATGTCACATAAACATGACACCCAGACCCGCAACCACAATTAGTAGTTCACACAAAGAGTTGCTCCGTGCGGGAATCGAACCGCGGCAGCCGGTTGCCCACATACTTCATAACGTCATTATAAACCGCTGTGACCACGCCGCCCGCACGCCGGCGGCGCGTCGACGGCGCGCTTACAACTTTTGCACTTGCTTTTTCAATTGTTTCCAAAGCAAAAATGCCGTACCGGTGCCATGCTTGGGCCGTGCTGAAGTCGTGCCGAAGCTGTGTTCGTTAGGGGTTTGATGTCCTTAAACATTTAACTGGCCCGCATCTACATATGTAGCACGAGTCGCGGAGATCCTAACGGGTTACCGGGGCTCCGGCTCGACGTGCAGGAGAAGGAACGGGGTGGTTTTTAGTCAGTAAGAGTCTGACACACCCTCCCGCCTCGCCCAGGCGAGAGCAGTCATTCGATGATTTTCCCCCCTTAAAAAAGTGGATGTAGCACCAAGCTAGTAATTATAAAGATACGAACTATAGGTACCTAAGCTTAAAACAAAACCTTGCTCGTCAGGGAGTAAGAACAAGAGAATGAAACACTCCACATTCATCTAAAATTGTTTCATAAAATCTTATTTAAAATGTTTTATATACGGTTATATTACTCCCCTGGCCCTACCAACCTACCATCATTTCATAAGAAGCTTACGTGAAGCGAAGTCACGTACGCCGTACTTATATTAACTTATAAGTTATGAACTTCCCAAGTTAGATGAAGAAAAGGCTTGGGTATTTATTGCGTGGATTTCCGTCTTCTATACGGATATTATAAAGACGAAACATTTGTGTTACTATAGGTATATACTTAAGTAATGTTTACACACAAAAGAAAGGAAGGATAATCTTTATTTCACCCTAAAAAGCAAAAGACAGGTACAGATGTGTTATTCTATTAGTAGGTAATAGGTATTAAACTGTCAAACACCAAGCGGTCACCGGTGACCGCAACCTATTGTTCTATAATTGTGTCTATAATGACGGTGCTCGACGAGTTAAAGCTAAAGATAGTGGACCGATTTAAAACCTATAAATTAAGATTAACTCGTCGAGTACCGGTTTTGTAGACACAATTATAGAACAATAGGTCGCGGTCACCGGTGACCGCTTGGTGTTTGACAGTTTAATAAAGAATTATCAATATATCCTCCAAAAAAGCAGCACAGTCCAAGAAGAAATTAAAAACTTGGCTTCAGGATCTTGGAACGTTTGCTGTATTTTATTATGTAAATGATGATGAAAGAGAAAAATATATTTAGTTATATATTTATATTTAAAAAAATTCTTTCACCAATGCCCAATCCCTTGCGCCATTTTGACGTGACTGAGTAACAATAACTACACTTAAACTTACATACTTTTGCTTTTAAATATTATCAAGATAAGATTTTATGATGCCACTCTCATTATTGAATACAAATTCAGATTTTCATTTCTATTCAAAATCAAGGCTTTCTCTACATCACGAAGGTATTGAAAAAAATCACTAACACTCAAATATTTCGTAACCGAAATATAACCGGCAATTTTTGCGATCACACACCCCTAACAAGTTCTGTGTACTCTGCAAACTTTGGTCGGTATTTCGGAACCATCAATTTTGTAACGTTACCCAATGTGGCGTTCGTAAACTGAAATTATGAGTAAATTCAGTTTGTTACCGAGTGCTACTCGTAAGTGTGAGTATTTTACGTTGACGCGGCCTCTGATTGGTCAGTTAATTTGGAGCAGGCCAATCAGAGCGCCGAACGCCATAAACTTGCCGATCGCGTAAACGTAAACCAACTCGTACTATGCAGTATATCTAGTGCGACAAAGAGTGCCCTCTGTTTTCATTTTCGTATGTAGAAACTAAAAACCTTTTGAGGTGTCTAACAGTGGAGCGTCTATTTATAACTAAGGGCCAGCTTTTCAATCGTCAGTTAATTCTTAACTGTTGACTAAAATTGACATTTGACAGTTTTTAGTATGGAAGAATTGTCAAATATTTAAAGTTATTTCTTAGGTTAAATTTATCTGGTCTTGGAAAAATTGGTCCTAAGGTGATTTTTGCTTCGAATGCAATGCAATGCAGTCATAATGGCTGAATGCCCAACATGGCTGGTTAGGTTAATAATTAAGTTTTGGATGTTCCAGTATAACAGAATTTAAATTTGGATGACCACGCCCGATTAATGCCAATTTACATATAATTGTCTTATTTTGACCTGCCAGGCGAAATAAGAAATATGAATTGATAATGTTTTCTAAAGTGGTTTGTATTGTTACAGGTGTTGTTGCATGGTGGGGATAAGGAGAAGGTGCAGTCATGGGAGACAGTTTCTTGCACCTGGGGGACATTGTCTCCCTGCACGCGGAGGGCACCGTATCAGGATTCCTCAGTACCTTAGGGTAAGCCTTCATACCTCCACTGTTAATCTGACGATGGCAATCAGAATTCAATTGCTTCTCGCTCTCGTTGCTCCTATTTTAACGATGTCTATACCTACTAAATAAGAGGGGTTTCAACCTAACACATATCACATACAAACACATTTTTATACGGGTGCTGTCAATTGGGTCTGGTCAGCTCCAGACTGCATTAAATTTATTGTCGTCAAGGTTATTAACGTTTTCTTTCTCCTTAACTGAATATTTGCGTTACATTGTTCTCACATACCTAATTGAACCAACGAAACAATGTAACCAAGAATTGTATTGTGAATCTGATTGGAAAAGAGTAACCTATGGAGTTTCTTGCTCGTTCTTCTCCATAGAAATCCACGTATTGGAATAAGAAATATCTTCAGTTTAATTTTTTGTTGACGTTCAAAAGTGCCTTCTTGGTCTAATTGAAATAAATGATTTTGACTTAACTTTATAGTTACACTGTGCGTTCTTACGACGTAAGTATGAGACTAACAGTATTAGCTCCTTTAGAAGGTGTAAAAGACCGGGAACAAATACGATACGAATTGAAAAGGACCAATATGTACCTTCCCTGACTTTGGGACCGAAATTGCCGCAATATTACATTTCCATTTACTTTTTATACGCCAGCTCTTTCAAATACTAATGATATTTTAACAATAGAGTTGAAATCAACCTCGCTTTTATAATAACCATCTAAAATATACTTTACTACATCGTAATAAAGAAGGTTTCTTGTTGCTCATTGACTTAGATACGCCTTTTCAAACAATTTACAATGGAATGGTTACTAAATACGCAATGTAATGGATCGAAGAAATGATTATACACGTAAAAGGAACACCTACATGATAACTTTAATTGTATTGTATACGTGTGCGAGAGCCACGCTTAGGCACGAATGGGCCGGCTCGACCGGAGTGATACCACGGCCTCACAGAAACTGGCGTGAAACAATGCTAGCGTTGTGTTTCATCTTCTGAGTACGGTTACCGGAGGCCGTATTCCTCCCCTCCCCAATCTCTACAATCCCCAATTCTCAAATACTGCACCCTAACCCCAAAAGGCGTCGTGGAGAACCTAAACGGGTAACCGGGGCTCCGGCTCGATGTGCAGGAGAAGGAACGGGGTGGTTTTTAGTCAGTAAGAGTCTGACACTCCCTCCCGCGTCACCCAGACGGGAGTAGTCATTCGATGAGTTTCCCCCTTAAAAAAACCCCAAAGGCGCGCAACGCATTTGCAACTCTGTGGAAGAATCTAGTGGTAAAATTGTAAAATCACCTACGTCTGTGGCTAGTGACGTCATAACATAATAACAATTAAAGTTTATAAATAGAATACAGGTTTAATTGTAACTAATTATACATTTTGTTTTTTTTTTGATGACCACGTCGTTTGACGTATGTATGTGTATTGCACACTAATAATAAACAGAAAATGTATATTTATGTATCATGTGTGGGAGAGCCATGCTTTGGCACGAATGGATCAGCTCGACCGGAGTGATACCACGGCCTAACAGAAAACCGACGTGAAGCAACGCTTGCGTTGTGTTTCGTCGTGTGAGTGAGGTTACCGGAGGCCCAATTACCCTCCCCTTCCCCTATCTCCCCAATTCCTGAATCTCCAACCATCCTTAAACTCCTAATCCCCAAAAAACCGGTAACGCACTTGTAACGCCTCTGGTGTTCCAGGTGTCCATGGGCGACGCCGATTTCTTACCATCAGGTGATCCGTCTGCTCGTTTACCGGCTTATGCCATAAAAAAATATGTTATGACCAATTTCCGAAAATGTTTTATACATACCTATATTTTAAAGTTTCAGTCGTGTTATCAAACAGAACTTGGGTCACTTACACAAAAACTTTGTGACAAACTTGTCCCAGTTAACCCAAATCAAGGAAAAGTTAAAAAGTTAGATGTTCGAAGAAAAACGACGGTCCCCTGACTAATGACATCTCCAAGTTCTCGGAAACTTTTTGATTCTTCACCTGCTCCCGAAGTTGGATGGCCGAAATTGCCTCAAGCTGTACCTACAATAAAATTCTTGCTAAATATCATACTGGGCAAATAAGATTGAGTTTATTGAGTGTGGGAGAACCATGCTTCGGCACGAATGGGCCAGCTCGACCGGAGTGATACCACGGCCTCATAGAAAACCGACGTGAAATAACGCTTGCGTTGTGATTCGTCGCGTGGGTGAGGTTACCGGAGGCCCAATTACCCTCCCATTCCCTAATCTCCCCAATCCCTGAATCCCCAACGATCCTCAAATTCCCAATTCCCAAAAGGCCGGTAACGCACTTGTAATTGTAACGCCTCTGGTGTTCCGGAAGTCTATGGGCGACGCCGATTGCTTACCATCAGGTGATCCTTCTGGTCGTTTACCGGCGTATGCCATAAAAAAAAAATTAAGTCTAATAACCGTTTAGTCCCTGCTCTCTTTCATGCAGCTTCAGTATGCTTCTGCCAATGGCTATCTCCGCCGTCTTAGTATAAAATAATTCTTGTACGTTTAAAAATAACGACTTCAATCCTCTCTTTTTTGAACTCGGTTAATTAATATACACATAAGTGTAACAAACACTTTACTGAAAACCGCATCAAAACCGGTTGATCTAATCGCGAGATCGATTAATAACACGTGTTCGCAGCCCAATACGTTGGTTCAGTCGCGGAGAACCTAACGGGTAACCGGGGCTCCGGCTCGAGGTGCAAGAGAAGGACCGGGGTGGTTTTTAGTCAGTAAGAGTCTGACACTCCCTTCCGCCTCACCCAGGCGGGAGCAGTCATTCGATGATTTTCCCCCCTTCAAAAAAAAAATACGTTGGTTCAATCAGATTCGCACCATGTTGGGTTCTACTATCCACAACTCTTCACTGCCAGTGATAGATTTATAAGGAAGAAGCTCGTGCGAGGGTTAGTTATGCTGAAGGTAGTCACAACCCTAAGAAATCAAGAATACCTACGAGTGAGGACGAGGAGCAGGATATCTATTCAGTTGATTTTATGTAAAAAAGAATCAAATAAATCTTAGATTCGTAGCTAGATCGTTGACTACACGGTTGGCGCGGTGACTGGACAACCCTCTGCCGCGCAACGTGTCGTGGGTTCGATTCCCGCATGAAACAACTCTCTGTATGATCCACAGATTGTTGTTCCGTGTCTGGGTGTCATGTGTATGTGAACTTGTATGTTTGTAAACGCACCCACGACACAGGAGGAAATCCTAGTGTGGGGAAACGTTATTTAAAACAAAAAAGTAGAAACAATCATACATTTTCGCATTTACAATACATATTTGTAAAAGTAAAACAAGTGAAAAAGTATTCCACTAAATATCACTAGGTTTACTCTGAAGAACTAGAGCGTTACAGTATACTATTGTGTTTCAAACCGCAAGCCGGATCCGAGAATTTGCCGGAAGAGAAACAGATGCGGTTACTACGGCAAACCGGTGTTCAATTTGAACCCATTGTTTTAGTATCAAGAATGATTGTTTGTTTTAGATTTCTGAATGAATTGCCAAGTAATGTCTGGCGTGGATTTTCGCCATTCGCTTTTATGTATCGTCGTCATAGAGGGCGATTTTCTTTTTATTGAAATGTATCGAATATACAACATGTAACTTAAATAACGCACATCCTGAAAATAGTTTGTTCAGAATCGTTAACTGAATCGATTTATATAATTTTTAGTATAGGTAATTTTTTATCCCAAAAATAATTGAAACAACGGAAATTATTGTCATATTAATCCTGTATTGTTAAAACAAACCGAAATGGACCGTAAGCCAAAGCAATAAGACTTAAAATCGCAGTTTTATTTGTATTCATACAAATTCTATCATTCAATACAAAATAAAGAAAAATAAACCTTATGACAAGACAAGTAAGGATGCATATACATGTTAAATCAAAAATTTTGTGTAGGTATGTATTATGATTATTGCATAATATTCTAATTGGGGTGTTTGAGGGTGTGCGTTAATTACGTTACATGTTGTATAAACGAATGCAACAAAAACTACTAGTTTCAAGTCATACTCTTGACTTGACTCTTGTCCATGAGTACGGCGTGCGGCGTGGTGACGTCGCCGTCGAGCAGGCAACTGGCGATCTTATTGCCTGCCAAGCAAAGAGCAAATTTCATCCGCGGAGAAGCAATATATTGAATATGGACTCATCATCCTCCGCTTATAATTGCCCACAGCTGAGCAAAGGCTTCTTCTTACACGGAGAAGATATGAGCATTAATTCACAACGCTTACTCAAGGCGTGTTGGCAATATAGACTGAAAGTAACTATTTCTTTAATCGTTGTTTTTTGAACCGTGTCTCTTATAAGCTATTCGTATACCTCGGAAGTAATGTCGTGGTGGCCCGGAGGTTTAAGGCGCCCGCTTCTCATGTATGAGGTGCGGGTTCGAAACCTACCAACGGCAAGTACTGATGTGACTTTTTCCGAGTAATATGTATTTTGGAAGATTATCTAGACACCACTGACAAACGGTGAAAGAAAACATCGTGAGGAAACCTGGGCTTATAATTTCTAATTACAAGTTTGAAATCGCCAACCCGCAATGAGCAAGCGTGGTAATTCATGCTCTAACATTCTCCGTGTGAGAAGAGGCTTTGCTCAGTAGTGGGCATTTATTATTAGTATTTTTTTTAAGGGGGAAAATCATCGAATGACTGCTTCCGTCTGGGTGAGGCGGGAGGGAGTGTCAGACTCTTACTGACTAAATCTCACTGCTCAGCCCACGCAGGGCATTCCGCTACAATGTGTTCCACCGTGTCCTCAGGGCGGTCCTCGCAGGGATGACACCCAGACGTTTCCTCCCGCCCTATCAGACACAGGTACCTCCCGAAATCCCATGTCCGGTGAGGACCTGCGTCAGGCGGTATTTATAGGCTGTTGATGATGATACCTCGGAAGTAGCAACCACTGCGAGCAGACAGACCGCCATTAACTTATAGGGACCACTTACTCTAAAGTTTATAAAAGTAAATCGAAATAAATTATTTTTCCCAGGTTTCCAGTAGACTACAATATGGGATCTTCAAGAAGGGATTAAATAGGTTTTTATAAGGGTCTTCAAGGCGCATGTAATGCTCCAATTGTTGCAACGTTGCAAGCGTTCGTAGGCCACGGTAACCAGTTACCATCGGGTGGGCCGTGTACTTTTTCCACCGTCGTCGTGGTTTAAAAAATTAATAAATATATGTAATTAACTAAAAATAGCGGGTTACTCACGTGATTATACTGACAAAGGTCTACTAGCTTCGAATCGAACCACAGAGGGGTTCTTCGCGGTCGCGGCGATGTCACGCAGCCTACTTGGCTGCGCGCACGCTGCTCATGAGGAAGAACCCTAATTTAGTATGTCTCACGATAGTTATTATAATAAAAGATTTAACTTTTGCCTTTGATTGTCCACAGGTTGGTAGATGACAGGTGTGTAGTATGCCCGGAAGCGGGGGACCTGACTGATCCGCCCAAAAAGTTCCGGGGTAAGTAAAGCTGTTTTATATTTTTTCGGTGGTAATAATCACATAACATAACATCACGTCTCTTATCCCCGATGGGGTAGGTGCACATTACGACACTTAATGCCACTGTACAGTAACACTATTTATGTTATAAGTCCCATGTAATAGGGTGTTGGCCTATTGCCATATACCGGGCACAATTTCAGACTCCGTGCTACTATTGAGATTAAAAAAAAAAAACTAGTAATACTTTGCTCGACCCGGCTTAAAAATCAATACACTATTATGTCTACCGCATTAAATGCACCGAGAGAAGTGGAAATTATCGTTTCTTCATTTCCCCTAGTAACGTCTTGGTTTCGTTGTGTGATCCTAGACAGTCATTCATATTTTATTTCCCTGGGACGCGCCGGACTTCAGTGTTCCGGTGTTTTCATGGTTGTATCTACTGTAGATCCTGGCTTGCAGGAGTTGGTTGGTTTTGGGAGGCTGTGGCAGTTTTGTCCCATTAAAAAAGAAGTAATAAACTGGATGGAGAATGAAACGAATTTCTCAGTGAATAGAATCATATACTAGTGTTGCTTACAATTTTGGAAATTAAAAAAAGTTGGTAGTGATGAGTATGCCGTATCATTTTTGTATTTGCTTTTATTTTCATTTAATCTATTCCAGATTAGGCTAGATAGCTCCAAGTACATTTTTAGATGGCATAATAAAAGCGAATCGAGTGGTTTAAGCGGTTCGTAAAAATTTTATGTGCAGTATGTTCGTATAGAACTTTATGTCAACATGACCCTATTACTTGGGATTTATTGTCATTCCTCTAGAAGTTAGAACTTCATCACACATTTTATTTTATAGTCTTAGTTTGGTTTGATATCCATTGGTCATCCCGTCATCAAGAGTGCATCTAATCGCAGTCGTAGTGTTTCGTCGTACAAGTACATTTTTGTACATAATCAAACTTATTGCTCGTTGTTCGGCAGAATTTCTTAAAAAAAATATATTTGTAAGCTAAATATATGACGTCACTTAAACATGATTGAAGCACCAAAATTTCAGTGTGCTATTTATGTGTGCATGTGTAATGAGTTACCACGTTACCAGATTTAAAATGACAGATGTCCTTCGTGTCAATGTGTGTGTGTTCTGCGTGTAAGTTCAAGGACAACACGGTTATCGCGGTGTCTAGGCAACCGGCTGCCACGCAGCGTGTCGCGGGTTCGTTTCCCGTACGTAGCAACTCTTTGTGTGATCTACAAATTGTTGTTCCGGGTCTGGGTGTCATGTGTATGTGAACTTGTATGTTTGTAAACGCACCCACGACACAGGAGAAAATCCTATCCTAGTGTGGGGCAACGTTTTATTTAAAAAAAAAGTCTATAGTAGCCAGGTGCCACAATCGTTGTGTGTCCGCCTTTTTTAACGTCCTTTACTATCTTACTTTAAACTGTCAAACACCAAGCGGTCACCGGTGACCGCAACCTATTGTTCTATAATTGTGTCTACAAAACCGGTACTCGACGAGTTAATTGCATTAGAAACGAGCAAAAAAGAAGTGCTTCCTCTAACTAACATGCTTGATACTAACCTATCGTTATCACAAACACTAAATTAATTAACTGCCTCGTTGGCCGAGTGGTCGCAAGTACAAATGCCGGGCAAATGGTCTCAGGTTCGATTCCCGGGTCGGGCAAAGTATTATTGGTTTTTTTTAATTTCTCAGTAGTAGCACGGAGTCTGGAATCTGGAATAGTGTCCAGTATATGGCAATGGGCTCACCCCCTATTACATGGAACTTACATAAATATTGGAAAGCGGGTGTTACACTGTACAGTGGCATCTAGTGCTATAATGTGCACCTCTGCCCCTTTAGGGATAAAAGATGTGGTGTTATGTAAATTAATTGAAACAGATAAAAGCAATTTTATTATACAGATAATATGATTCATTTATGAATGAACGTGTTTAAAATATTGCCTATCTACAACGTTGTGTTATTTGTCACATACGAGATAACATGGATAATATGCCCCTTGTAAAAACAAGGGATTATCCACGTTGTCATACACGTTATCGTAGTTAAATTGGCATGTTATTTCTTAAAAATAATTTAGCGTTTCATATTATCATTTATACATATCTATCTCACATGGGGGGAGAGACTATGGTACGCCAATAGCTACTTTATATATACTACGATTCTTACATACCTCCTTCGCTTCACCAGTCATCAATCTTTTCATGCATGCTCGTCGGTTAAGGGTACTTTTAATTTGGCCCCTCTTTAAAATATCGCCAATCTGTTCAGTATCGGCCCCATTTATATCAGCTCTGTATACTTCTTTCGTTATGTATTGTAACATTTAAGTATTCATTAAAATGTTGAATGTATGTAACACTAGCTACTGCCCTACAGTTTCTCTCACTGCTTGGCTCCTATTAACTGTAGCGTGATGTTTCATAGCTTATAGCCTTCCTCGATAAATGAACTATCCAACTCAATAAGAATTATTCAATTTGAACCAATAGTGCCAGAGATAAGCGCGTTTAAACTAACTTTATAATATTTATAAATAGACAACACTGTGTACGCCATTTTAATCAACTAAAAATTACGAGTTACTCCACGTGAATATACTGAGAAAGTTCTACTAGTTTCGAACCACAGAGGGGTTGTTCCTCATGAGCAGCGTGCGCGGTTGCGGCGATGTCGCGCGCTTTTCTCAGTATATTCACGGAGTTACCCGCGATGTTTAGTTAATCTAGTATATCTCAAGTTATTATAAAAGCCATTTTAATTGTTATTAACTGTGTTACCATAGCATAATATCGTTTAAATATTTTCAGATTGCCTGTTCAAAATATGCCCTATGAACCGTTACTCCGCTCAGAAGCAATTCTGGAATACAGCCAAACAGTCCGCAAATTCAAACACCGATACAGGACTGCTCAAGAGGTTGCATGTAAGTATACTGAGGCCCTAGTACCCAATCAATACCCAATATCAATATCAATAACCAATATCATTTCAATTCAATAAAATCTCAATAATTATTTGCTGTCAAAACTATACAACCCCTATCGTATCGTAGCTGTTAAAATAGCATTCAGAGTCCGGAATATAAAGCCGAACTCAATACCATTTAGTTCATTAAATATCCACGCAATATGGATGCAATGGGCGCTAGTGTTCCAACTCGAGGGTACAAAATTTCACAATGCCAATGTCGATTGATCGAAATTGGATCCAAGAGTAAGCCCCCTGGGCCTCAAGTTTGCTATTTTTATAATAATTGTTGTGATTCCAACACGATCGCAATTGTCATTTTCCTAAAAGTTCCTGATCTGCTAAATTCATAATAGTCGAAGATTGATCGGTCAATGGTCTCATAATGGAATTGTAGCAGAGTGAAATTGCCGTATTGCCATTATTATAAAATTTTGTAGTAGAAATAGTTTTCGAAAAACTACTACTAAATTTGAACATTTATGCATGCCAGATGTTATTTTATTTTACAAAATATCTATCTGTGTTCAATCAAGGGGCTCCGACTCGAAGGGTAGGAGTAGGAACGGGGTGGTTTTTAGTCAGTAAGAGTCTGACACTCCCTCCCGCGCCCGCCTCACCCAGGCGGGAGCAGTCATTCGATGATTATCCCCCCTTAAAAAAAGAAAAAAAAAAAACTGTGTTCAATGAAATACCAATAATTCCGGAGATGAACCATGGAGCGATACCACGGTCTCATAGAAAATCGATGTGAAACAACGCTTGTGTAGTGTTTCGTCGTGTGAGTGAGGTTACCGGAAGCTCAATAGTCAATTATCCCCCTCTCCAATCTCTCTAATCCCCAAAAGCCGCCAAAAGGCCAGTAACGCCTTTGGTGTTTCGGGTGTCCATGGGCGGCGCCGATTGTTTACCTACCATCAGGTGATCCGTCGGCTCGTTTACCGGCCTATCTCATAAATAAAAAAATAGAACGTTCAAACAAGTTCTTTAGTTTTATAATATTAGTATAGATTTCAACATCGCTGATTCGCTATTAAGTGACACTAACTGGAAAAAGAAAGGCTTTAATATAGGTTAATGAGCTCCTTTTCTATGACTATGCTCATTTGTCTGTCATCAAATACTAAATTATGGTTATTGTATGACCTAATTTTTTTGTGAATCCCTTTGAAATATGTTTATTGACCGCTCGTCCATCTTTTTAGTTGTCTAAATGGAAAAATATAATTGAAATTTATTATTATTATCTTCATAGTTTTGTGGGTATTCTTTTCTCGGAGAGAGTAAGAGAAACTGCGGTCTTCAATTCGCCTACCATGACATGACATCATGACATTATCATCTTATGTAAATTAGGCTGAAATTGCAGCTTTGGACTATCGTAGGTGGTACAGTGCAAGTACGTACAAATTATCAGGACTTGGTACGTGCGGTTTATACTTTAGTGTTTTTTTATGGGGTAAGCCGGTAAATCAGCAGACGGATCACTTGGTGGTGATCAATCGGCGTCGCCCATGGACACCTGGAATGCCAGAGGCGTTACAAGTGCGATACCTGCCTTTTGGGATTAGGAGTTTGAGGATTGTTGGGGATTCATGGATTGGAGAGATTGGGGAAGGGAGGGGAGGGTAATTGGTCGTCCGGTAACCTTACTCACATACGCAAGTGTTGTTTTACGTCAGTTTTCTGTGAGGCCGTGGTATCACTCCGGTCGAGCCGGCCCATGCGTGCCGAAGAGTGGCTCTCCCACACTTTTATAAGGTGTTTATAACATACATAGCTGTTGATGTTTATGAAATTGTTCGATGTCTATCTTTTGGGAAATAAACGAGGCTGTGTATTTTTTCTCTTTATTTGCAATTAACTAGCTACTCCCGCGCTCTTGCACCCGCTACTCGGTACCTACATCGTAATGTTTTATAGCCTAATTATTATGTTTTCGGCTTACTCACGTAAATGTTTGACGAGGAACTTGACTAGTTTCAAGTTGTGCTAGAGGCTCATATTCATGAGCAGCATTCCGCGACCCGCGACTGTCACGCTGCTAATGGCTACTCGAGTCTACTGCGGTGCGGTCCCAACGCGCCCTCTGCCGTGATTCACGCGCACGCACCTCCATCTGTGGCGGCGCGCGCGACGCGACACAGCTGATACGTTGGACTCGTTCGCCGGCGGCCGCGTAGATGTTTTTTATTTTTTATCTTTCTATATTCAGGAAACAAACAGTCTCTTACAAATAAAATTATTACAATACAGTGTGATACATACAGACCTAGAGTTCCATAAAACAATAACATTCGAAAAGGCACTGTTTTTAAAGGTGTCAAATCAGTAGTATACATTTAAAAAAAAGAAAAGAATTACAGAAATAAAGTTATTAAAACGATAAATGAATTTACATACTTATAAAGTGACCGTGATATAATTCCCTTCCTAGCTCTGAGTATATTTCTGCTTAATTTTAGATTTATAAACATTGAAACTGGTATTAAATATGTTAAATCTTTTTAAAGTTTATAGCCTTCCTCTAAATGAACTATCCAATACATAAATAATGACCATTCGATTTGAATCAGTACCATAGATTAGTGCGTTCACGGTTCAAACAAACAAACTTTTCTACTTTATAATAGAAGTAGGTAGTAGGTATACATAAAACGATCGCCAAAGCATTTATTTCATTTCACCTTAGAATAAATAACCACTAAATCAATCCCGTAAACCCACATATTGGATACAATCGTGACGTAATAAATTCAGAGATTACAACATCAAACAAGTAAATAGTATCATTATGAAGATGTATCACCTGTTTATAGGCAATCAGTCTTTATGTACTATTTATTAGTGACTATTATCGTAAACAGCTGTGTGTTGATTTATGGAAACGAATGAATGTTTTTATAGAAGTCGCTGTTTCGTTGGATGTATGGTCGCAGATTGCAGTTGCAACATCTAGTACTACATCTAAGACACAATAGAGAACATTTGTCTTGTATAGATCTATGCTCTGGCTACCACGAGTTAAGCTTTACTGTCTAGGACACATCATTTGACGAATGCACAAAAATCGAATTAGTCCGTAAGTTAGGTAATGAAAAAATATTAGACACGTATTTTTTATTTTGTCGTGTAATAAAACAATACTTATACAACGAATCAAAGTTTAGGAGTGGGGGCTAAAACGTCATTTCTACGTATAAAATGTATCTACATACTTAGAAGTGACGTCCCGCGACATTTCAAATCAATATATCGTCTAAAGTATTCGTTTCTGTAAGAAAATAAAAAAAATACGTGTCTAATAATTTAAAATAATCTACCAGTCGGAAATTAAAATAAAAATTAGGCATCTACCCTATTGATGGGAGAACCTAACGGGTAACCGGGGCTCCGACTCGACGTGCAGGAGAAGGAACGGGGTGGTTTTTAGTCAGTAAGAGTCTGACACTCCCTCCCGCCTCACCCAGGCGGGAGCAGTCATTCGATGATTTTACCCCCTTAAAAAAACCCCATTGACGTATAAAGCGACCTACGAATGGCAATGCTTGAATGCTTGCATCTCGCTTAGAAATAATGAAAACTGTCCACGAAGCGGCAACATTGTGTCACTCAAACCTACTATCTTCGTAACCGCTCGTCATACACACGCTTTCGTCAATTGAGGAGTGCATGAAGATAACAAGACGAAAGCTTGCATCATGGGTACAAAAGATTAGCGCGTTCAAGCGAATAAACTGACTGATGGGCTGGATAAATGTTTAATGAATTGTTCGTATATAGGTCACATAGGCGTTAAAACTTACTTTTATATCGGTTGTGTATTTATTTTTTATCTCTTTCCCACAGCATGCTGCTGAGATAGAAAAAAAGCAAAATGAGTTGGAGAACAAGAAGCTACTCGGGACTGTCGTGCAGTACGGAAGCGTACTACAACTGCTGCATGTCAAGTCTAATAAATACCTTACTGTAAGTAACATCGACCTTATTGCTTTGGAAATAAAGGCGTCATTATTTATCTAGTATTACTTCCTTATCTTACTACTAACTTTTTCCCGCGGCTTCGCTCGCGTCACAAAAGGATAAAAAGTAGCCTATGTGACATATACCAATACACACAGCGCCATCTATACCAATACTTTTGTTTTTCCCTCGGGAATATCAATTTTTTCCGGGATAAAAAGTACCCTATTATTTAATCTGGACTTCTAACTTTACGTCTGCAAAAATCAAAGCAATTGGTTTAGTAGTTACGGCGTGAAAGCAGAACAAACTAACAAACTCACTTTCCGATTTATAATATTAGTAAGTATTTGGTCAGATCTTTTATCCAATATGGGGTTGCCTGGAATGCTGGAAAACATTCTAATTGTCAATTTTTAACAGTCCCAAGACATTTCAGTCAAAACTACCAAATGACCTAGATAATCTTTTTTTATTGAAATAATAAAAATGTACAGATATTCTTTTTTTATTAAACAATTAAAAAAAATGTTGGTTCTCAGTTTGACCTAAATGTATGTATAGTGATGTTTGTCCGCAATTATCTCGCGATTAGCTGAACAGATATTGATGCGTTTCTAGAAAGTGTTTTTGACGCTTAAGTGGGAAGCTTTTAGTATATTAACCGACTCGAAAAAAAGGGTGGCTAAAGCCGATTTTTTGAACGTACTTTATTGAAACTTATTACATGTATATGCTCGCTCAATGCAAGCAAGCTTGATGATTAATGCTCAAACCTTCTTCGTGTGAGAAGAGCCTTTGCTCAGCAGTGGGCATGTATAGGCTCTTGATGATGATGACATCCTTACTAATATTATAAATCGCAAAGTGAGTTTGTTTGTTTGTTTGTTCCGCTTACACGCCGTAACTACTAAACCGATTGCTTTGAATTTTTGCAGACTTAAAGTTACAAGTTCGGATTAAATAATAGGGTATGTACTTTTTATCCCGGAATAATTTGATATTATCGAGGGAAAACAAAAGTATTGGTATAGATGGCGCTGTGTGTATTGGTATATGTCACAGGCTACTTTTTACCTTTTTGTGACGCGAGCGAAGCCGCGGGTAAAAGCTAGTGTATAATATAAATGAGTATAAGTAGATATATTTTATTTGCAGGTAAATAAAAGACTGCCCGCGTTGCTGGAAAAGAATGCCATGCGTGTACATCTTGACGCCAACGGCAACGAGGGTTCTTGGTTTTACGTTATGCCCTTCTACAAATTGCGTTCCACTGGTAAGATGGCAGTAATAATAACACATACTTTTACATAACATTACGCCTTTTTCCCCGTAGGGGCAAGCAGAGGTGCACATTACGGCACTTAATGCCACGTCCCAATGTAACACCCACTTTTCACTATTTCTGTTATGAGTTCCATGTAATAGGGCCTATTGCCATACCGGTCACATATCCAGACTCCGTGCTACTACTGAGTTTTTTTTTTAATCAATAATACTTTGCCCAACCCGGAAATCGAACCCGAGACCCCTTTGCGCGGTAGTCGCACTTTTTTTTTTATTTGATAAGCCGGCAGACGAGCCTACGGTGCACCTCATGGTAAACAATAGGTGCCGCCCATGGACGCTTGAAACACCAGAGTCGTTACAAGTGCGTTGCCAGCCTTTTGGAAATTTGAGAATTGTGGGGGATTCGGGGATTGGGAAGACTGGGGAGGGGGGGTAATTGGGCCTCCGGTAACATCACACGACGAAATAATGCAACCGTTGTTTCACGTCGGTTTTCTTTGTGGCCATGGTAGCACTACGGTCGAGTTGGTGTATTAGTAACATACCCCACTATTTTTTTTATTATTTCCATTTACAGAATTTAAACTTATACAGTTTTATTATACTATATGTATAGATTATTTGTGGTTCAAAGCTCTATATTGATTGATTGCAGGTGATAACGTAGTAGTCGGAGACAAGGTAATCATGAACCCCGTTAACGCCGGCCAACAAGTCCTACACGTCTCATCTAATCACGAACTGCCTGATAACGTTGGCTGTATGGAGGTAAGCCGACTATTATCTAACAAACAATCAAGTATGACAAACTAGGTAATCATAGAGTATGTTTTTATAATAACTATCGTGAGACATACTAAATTAAGTAAAATCGCGGGTGACCGCGCACGCTGCTCATGAGGAAGAACCCCTCTGTGGTTCGAAACTAGTAGAGCTTTTCTCAGTATATTCACGTGAGTAACCCGCGATTTTACTTAATCATAGAGTAAGCTGACTATACGGCTGTCGCGGTGCGTGGACCACCACGGATGGTGGTTTGATGACTCTTTGAGGCGCGGGCTTGTGTGATCCAACCACGTTGTTGTTTCGATTTCGGGTGTGACTGTGAGTGGTGTGGTTTAGTTTATTACATTAAGTGACAGTATTTCGCATAACATGTAGACGCGATATAAATCCGAGGCTGCGGATACACGCAAGGTTACCCTTTACCGGGGATACGCCTCGAAGCAAGTTTCAAGGAAGAACGGAGTGGTTTTTGATCAGTGAGAGTTTACATCTCTTCTCACCTAGAGTGCGAGGAGGCATTTGATGATTCTCCCCCTCAAAAAGGCACGATATTGGACATGGACAAGACTTCACTTCATTTTAATTTTTTTAGCTTTTATTTTATTTTTATTTTTAATTAAGTTATGTGTGTTTTGCGCAAGAATAAATGGTTTTTCTTTCTTTCTTTCATATTTATTTATAATTTGGACAACCAGTAGTTGCTACATTAAATCTTATATCTAAGCACTTACATTGTAATAAATTTTAAATGCACAACATTTTTTAAGGTGTCACAACATGCACAGTAGCCTAACGATGACACTTTTATCAGTATTTGTGATAATTGGAAAGTAAAATAAAAATTGAAATACTTAAAATTAAAAAATAAAAAAACTGAAATAAAAATCTAAGTACATATTAAAATATAATATACTGCAGGACAAAAATCTCAACCACTGTTCTCATTATAACAGGAGGACGTCCTGGTCTCCTCGACTGTAACTGGGCATGCCTGTCTAGTCCAGCTATATCTCACAGGAGATATAAAAGAAAATGTCAGTTATTTATACTGTAGATAGCCAGGATTTCCGATTGTGTTGTATGTACTTAAGGTCCATTTTTGTTTGACTGCGGACGCCTATGTACTTAGGGTTGTGTCTATTATACGCTAGAAACGAATGTGTCACTTTAACTTATCTGGTAGAAAGCTACAAGTTTATGCGTATTGAAATCTTATCACTTGTTTCATTAGGTTCATTTTTGTTTGGCTACGGAGTCATAGCTTTGTTATGTGTTTAGTAGGCACTAGAAATACAAATATAAGAAAAGGTTAGAGTAGAGGATTTCGGTTTTATTGTATTTATTTATGCGGGCTCGAAACCTACCAACGGCAAGTACCAATGTGACTTTTCCGAGTTATATGTACTTTCTAATATTAGACACCACTGACAAACGGCGAAGGAAAACATCGCGAGGAAATCTGGGCTTATAATTTCTAATAATAAGTTTTAAATCGGGAACCAGTACTGAGCAACCGTTGTAATTAATGCCTAAACCTTCTCCGTGTGAGAAGGCCTCTGCCTTTGGTCAGCAGCTGCTGTTGATGTGATGTGTTTATTTAGTGGTAGATTTGCTAGTTAATATTATTATATTGAACTAGCTACTTCCTCGCGGTTTCACACGTTTTGCTCAGCTCCTATAGGTAGTAGCGTGATGTTTTATAGCCTATAGCCATCCTCGATAAATGCGCTATCCAACACAAAAATAATAAAATTATTCAAATCAGACTTGTAGTTACGGAGATTAGCGCGTTCAAACAAACAAACAAAAAGCAAACCCTTCCGCTTTATATAATAGTATAAGATTACGATCGATTTTGACGAAACCTCCATACAAATAATGTCAAAAGTCGATCTTAATCTACTTTTGATCAAATTCGATTATAATAATTGAATTTGTAAAACAAGTCATCAATTGCTCAAACAGGTGAATGTGGTCAACTCTTCGACGTCATGGAAAGTGACGTTGTTCCTCGAACACAAGGAGAACCAGGAGGAGATCTTGAAGGGTGGTGACGTGGTAAGACTGTTCCATGCTGAACAGGAGAAGTTCCTCACCATGGATGAGTACCAGAAGCGGCAGCACGTGTTCCTGAGGACCACGGGACGGTCTAGTGCAACAGCTGCGACCAGCAGTAAGGCGTTGTGGGAGATTGAGGTAAGAGATATTCTCGAAAGTAGTCAACTTGGTAAATAGGGATGATTACGAGGTATGAAAATTAATATTAATTAATAATGTATTTCGTCCGGCAGTTAGGTAATGAAAAAATATTAGACACGTATTTTTTTATTTTGTCGTATAAGAGAATAAGACTTCGATAAAACGAATCTAAGTTTAGAAGTGGGAGCTAGCTACGTCATTTTGCCGTAAGAAAATAAAAAAAATCGTGTCTTATGTTTTTAAATAATTTACTAGACGGACATTAAAATAAAAATTAGTTATCTACCCTATGATCAAACTTAAAAATCGAACTCGAAATCTCTTACTTGGCTTCAAATTAGATTTGTCTCCATAAAGGACATAACTTAAAGTAACTCGCACTCGGCACCCTGGAAGGCATTGAAGGAGGTACACACGGCCACACATCAATCTATACAAAACCAGTTTATCCTGGTCTCTCGTCGCATCATCTTTCTGCACATTTAACGTTCAGTTTATACTGGTTATGTAAAGCTTGATGTGTAGCCGTGGTACATGTTGAACAGTGGACCTCTATGGCTTGTATCATGACGATGATGTGTTTTCTAAATGTATTTATTGCATGCTCACGCTGTCCACCAGGTGGTACAACACGACCCGTGCCGAGGTGGTGCGGGACACTGGAACTCAATCTTCAGGTTCAAACACCTCGCCACCGGCCACTATCTGGCTGCTGAAGCCTGTAATAGACCTCCGTAAGTTGGTATATTAATAGTTAATGTTTTTTTATGGGATTAGTCGGTAAACGAGCCGACTGATCACCTGATGATAAGGAATAGGCGTCGCCCATGGACACCTGAAACACCAGAGGCGTTACAAGTGCGTTACCGACCTTTTGGGGATTAGGACTTAGGATTCTTGAGATTCAAGGATTGGGGAGGCAGATTCAGAGGCTCTGGAACGCCAGTTGCTACAATTCTTACATACCTCTTTCGCTTCTTCAACAGTCAACAGTCTTTTTATGCATGCTCGACGAGCATTTAAGGAGTTCTTTTAATGATGATGATCTTGTATATTACGATGTCGTTACAGTGACGCGCCCGTGGACCCCTGCGAGCCAGCGTACCAGTTGGTGTCTGTCCCGCATTCCTCCGAGATCGCCACGCTATTCGAACTTGACCCCACCACCATGACACATTCCGACGCTCCAGTTCCACAGAGCAGCTATGTCAGGTAACACTTTAGCTTGGGTACGGCTAGGAGCAACCTAGCTTCACTGACAGACAGACGAATGGCCAATTCAATTTATTAATATGATTTTTCGAAGGTGCTTAATTAAGGATTTATTTGTATAACTGCTTTGACGTTGTCTTTAGGTATGTTACTCTAGTATCCTACCGAAACTGGTTTTCTGGCCGAAACCGAAATCGAATGTTCGGTCGTGGCTTCAGTTTCGGCCGAAATCGAAAGTCACGAGGTCAACTATAAAATTTCTGAAAATACTGAAATTTGCTGCATTTTATCTATTATTTTGCATGAAATGAAAACACAGTTCATTAAGTTTGTTGTAATAATTTGTTAAGTATAATATAAATAATAAAAAATATTAATAACATTTTTATTATTTTTTCAAATTAAGTTCTCATAGCATAGTGTTTCTCACTATCACTTAACACTAATCAAATCAGTAATTGTTACTGTTTCATTAAATACCGTCAAAGCATGAACTTGCGACATAAGTTTCGGTTTCGGCAACAGTTTCGGCTGATTTTGGCCGTAACCGAAACTGCCACCGAAACTTGATATTTGGCCGAAACTCGGCCGAAACCGAACTTTCGGTCGGACACTATTTTACTCATTTAAAAATCAATTACTTTTCAATACTATAAAATGATGGAGCCAGTGGATGCAGGTAGCGAGTGGTCGTTCGACGTGGAGGACTAAGGGGGAGGCCTTTGTCTAGCAGTAGATGTCTTTCGGCTGTTAATGATGATGATGATGATTATTAATAGTCAAAAATGTATCACGCTTTCATTTATTGGTAATACATGATTCTACTAAGCTATTTAAAAAAAATGTGTCAACTTCAACTTACCAAAATGAATATACAAAATAATATAATAAGAAAATGAAAGAACCGACTGTAAAAAAAACTGAAAAGTAGCAAGTTCGGTTGAACCATACCATACCTTTTGTCAGTCGATTAGAATACGCGTGTCTCGCTTAGATCTACGGTCATATAAATGGTGGTCCTCATGTTTTTTTTTATATTAGATGGGTCGAAGTTTGACCACTATCTCGCCTGGTGGTAAGCGGTGATGCGGTCTACGATGAAGCACGTTTACATTGTTTACATTTGTTGCAGGCTCCAACACCTTTGCACGCACACGTGGGTTCATTCTACGTCTATTCCCATCGACAAGGATGAGGAGAAGCCTGTCATGTCCAAGGTGAGACTAATAATATTATAAATGTGAACATTTGTGTGTTTGTTGTGTGTATTTTTGCTACTCAAAAACGTTAAAACGACTAAAGGTATCGGGATAAAAATTATAACATTTGTTACGTTGGAGGATTAATGAATTGTAGACGGATTTATTTTACTTGGATTTATTACAATAATGTGCAGGGCGCACGACGTGTACACACACTTAGACTATGACAGGTAGACAGCGGGGTTAATGAATAGTGTTCTACCTTATATAACACATTATAGTGAGGGGGCCACTACTTACTAATTAGTGATGTTCATACATGTAACAACATTTACCGGGGCTCCGGCTCGACGTGCAGGAGAAGGAACGGGGTGGTTTTTAGTCAGTAAGAGTCTGACACTCCCTCCCGCCTCAGCAAGGCGAAAGCAGTCATTTGATAATTTTCCCCCCTTAAAAAAAATAAAAAAAAACTTCATCTGGTATGTTTCTAGGAAAAATTTGTGATACTTCAACAACTTATGCGAGTGGTGAGACAGGTCCTAACTAAAGAGGATGATTTGTAGGAATAATGCTTTATTGACATTCCAGGTGGGCTGCTCCCTCATCAAAGAAGACAAGGAAGCGTTTGCATTAATATCGGTGTCGCCTAGCGAGGTTCGAGATCTCGATTTCGCTAACGACGCCTGTAAAGTGCTCTCGGCCTTGTCCACCAAACTGCAGCACGGGAATATAGAACATAATGAGAGGAAGTAAGGACGCTTTTACAGTAATTGTATAGTCAAAAAATTAAAAACCTATTAATTCAAGGTGTTGTTTTAAAGCCGCATCATTTTCAAGGACGTAACTCGGCTATCGATTCTGAGTCCGAATCAATAAAATTATAGGTAAATATTTTTCATTTTTCTGTAAATTACAGAAATCTGTAAGTGCGAACTACACGCCGCCGTCTTGTTACGCGGCTCAACACACACAAGCTCAAACACGTAATTGATATAATAATATCAATTACGTGTTTGAGCTTGTGTGCTTGCTTGTGCATTAGGAATACCTAATGCCATAAAACTCCAATAAGAAACATTGCTGTCGCTTATTCTGAAATGGTGTCGAACTTTAACGATTTATTATAGCCGTATTTTTAACTATTGGCCCGAAACTTTCTCTTACATTGAACCTTTATGACTTCTGTGACACGGCCCCGAGAAATGCCACGGTTTCAAAACTACACCTTGTATAAAATATTGATTGATTTTACGATACGCATTTTTCTAACCAATTTTAGAAACTAATGCCGGAATACTGAAACGCTACTCAATTTTAAGTCGTGCTTAAGTATAGTTCTATCTCTACAAATTCTTAGTAAAATGACAGAGATGGCACTATATTTGAGCACGACTTAAAATTGAGTAACGTTTCAGTATTCCGACATGAGTATGCTATTTAACGGGAAAGTTTGATGACGCCACAATTCTGTGTCTTTGCAAAATGTAGTTTTTCATATACCGATAATAATTTGATTGCAGAGCTCTGACTTGCTTGTTGCAAGACATAGTGTACTTCATAGCGGGCTTCGAGAACGAGCCCAACAAGTCGGAGGCACTGGAACTTGTGGTAGAGAACCCTAACAGAGACCGACAGAAGCTACTCCGGGAACAGTACATACTCAGGCAGCTCTTTAAGATATTACAGGTAATATGGTTACGATAACTATAGTGAGACATAGAAAATTGCTAAAAATCACGAATTACTTACGTGAATATAGGGAGAAAAGCTCTACTAGTTTCGAGCCACAGAGGGACTCTTCTGGCAAATGGCGCGATGGCACCAAAGCAACGCCGCCGATAAGTAGGCTGCGCGACATCGCCACGACCGCGTCAGTTTTGTGTATGAGTCCCAAATTGAAACTTTGTGCTACTTACTATTAAGCATATTGAGTTTGGGCTCATAAGTTAATATTATATTCATCTATACACATAATAAACTTGTAGAAAAGTCATTTATAAAATATGGCTCATAAGATTATAAATATGGCCATTTTTTATAATAACTATCGTGAGACCAAGCAATCATGGCTGGTAAAAAGTATACGGTTTAATAATCCGATCGTTCATTTTAAATGGACACTACGCCTTTGTTCGTTTTTCTATTCCTTTATTTTTCGATACTAACCTAACTAAAAAATCGCGGGTTTCTCACGTGAATATGAGAAACGCTCTACTAGTTTCGAACCACAGAGGGGTTCTTCCTCATGAGCAGCGTGCGCGGTCGCGGCGATGTCTACAGCCTAGCGTTGGCGCTCGCATTGGTGTTGCTGCATGCAAATATAGCCCAACGCGCCCTCTGTCGGACACCACGAGCGTTTGCTTCCAACTCCGGCGGCGGCGCGTTGGGCGATGTTAAAGTGCGTGACTTTCTGTCGAACCCAGATTTGAAGCCACTGCCCGCACCGCGGTTGAACGTATGGCCATTTCTCCTAAAGAATACATATGAACTAAAAGCGTGTTTTAAACTGTCAAACACCGCGAGGACACTGGTGACCGCAACCTATTGTTCTTTAATTGTGTCTATAATTTTTTTTTCTTTACAAAACGTTGACCCACACTAAGATTATCTCCTGTGTCGTGGGTGCGTTTACAAACATACAAGTTCACATACACACGACACCCAGACCCGAAACAACAATTTGTGGATCACACAAAGTGTTGTTCCGTGCGGGAATCGAACCCGCGACACGTTGCACGGCAGCCGGTTGCCCAGCCACCGCACCAACCGTGCAGTCAAAATAATGACGGTACTCAAAGGATTAAGTTATTTAAACTATGGAATTATTTTAGTTTAGAAATTTTGTATAATTATTTAACTAACCTTACTATGACATAAAATTCCAGGGTCCATTCCAAGAGACGACTGATGGAGAAGCGTTCTTGAAGATCGAGGAGCTGTACGACCCTCGATATGCTGCCTATAAGTACATCTTTCGTCTTTGCTATCGAATTCTAAGACTAAGTCAACAGGACTATAGAAAGAACCAGGTTCGTTCAATTATTATTTTTAACCGACTTCAAAAAAGATGGAGGTTCTCAGTTTTACCTGTATGTATGTATGTTTGTTTGTGCGCGATTACCTCGCGATTGGCTAAACCGATATTGATGCGGTTTTTAGAAAAAGTGTTTATTACACTTGGGAGAAGGTTTTAGTATATAAATTAATCAACTTCAAAATAGATTGAGGATTGAAGTCGATTGTTTTTTTAGCGTGGTATATAAAAGAATCATTACCTTAAACGTTATGCATTGTTTTGTCCATTCTACAGTCGATATTCCACCAAATAATATTTGGAATCCGCTTATAGAACGTAGCTGAAACAAAGTCGAAAGCATTTATTTCACTTCATCTTTAGTGAATTAGGCATTTAGGTACTAGGAACGACAAATTGAATTGTTAGAAAGAAGGAAAGAAAAACATTTATTCGACACATTGTTAGGGAAGCTATGTGTCGTTCCAGAGTGTAGTTTCGAATGGAGAAAAAAGAGCAAGAAACTCCACCGTTGAAATATTATTATTTTATTCTATAGGGACGAATAACAAGAGCTTAATATCTTTAAAACTGTGCGGCGGATTTTCATGTAGTTCTTTAATAGATAGAGATAATCAAAGCGAAAGTGGGAGATGAGGGAGAGCCAAGCTTCGGCACGAATGGGCCGGCTCGACCGGAGTGATACCACGGCCTCACAGAAAACCGACGTGAAGCAACGCTTGCGTTGTGTTTCGTCGTGTGAGTGAGGTTACCGGAGGCCCAATTACCCTACCCTTCCCCAATCTCCCCAATTCCTAAATCCCCAACAATCCTCAACCTCCCTAAAAGCCCGGTAACGCACTTGTAACGCCTCTGGTGTTCCAGGTGTCCATGGGCGACGCCGATTGCTTACCATCAGGCGATCCGTCTGCTCGTTTACCGGCTTATGCCATAAAAAATCATAATAAACTGGTTTCGTCTGGCTTGATTTATGTCTTGTCTAACGGTTACATTATTTTTACAGGAATACATAGCAAAACACTTCGGCTTCATGCAGAAGCAGATCGGTTACGACATATTGGCAGAGGACACTATCACTGCCCTGCTTCACAACAACAGGAAGCTTTTGGAGAAGCACATCACGGCCTCCGAGATAGAGACCTTTGTTGGTCAGTCCTATTCTTTTAACATAACATAACATCACGCCTTTTTATCCCCGAAGGCGTAGCAAGAAGTGCACATTACGGCACTTAATGCCACTTTACAATACAGTACACTGTTTTTTAAACCCACTTTTCACTATTTATGTTGTGAGTTTCTCCCACACTAGGATTTTATCCTATGTCGTGGATTCGTTTACAAACGTACAAGTTCACATACACATGACACTCGGACTCGGAACAACAATTTGTGGGTCCATAAAAATACGCCTAAAATGCGGAAAACCGCATGGTTGCATGCATTCATAGTCAAAGTCAAAATCATTTATTTCAATTAGACCAGAAAGGCACTTTTGAACGTCTACAAAAAAAAAATTGAAGCTATTTGCTCATTCCAAGGTGCAGATTCCTATGCAGAAGAACGAGCAAGAAACTCCATAGGTTACTCTTTTTCAATCAGGTTCACAATACAATTCTCTAGTTACATAGTCATTCGTCAAATGATTCGATGTTACTTGAAACCAATCCAGCTTTTCTCTAATAGTTCACTCAAGTATGCCGTGTATATCAACCCAGTAAAGTATGTGTCCTGTGCAGGTTTGGTCCGCAAAAACATGAAAACTTGGCAGTCTCGGTTTCTCGACTACCTGAGCGACCTCTGCATTTCCAACAAGAAGGCTATTGCCGTGACGCAGGAACTCATTTGCAAGAGTGTCCTATGTGCCAATAACTCGGATATACTTATCGAGACCAGGTATGTATTGTAAGGCCACTATAAATACAGGGTGTAAAAGGAACGCTCCCGAAAAACGCCGTCAGGTCAGCACCTGTCGGCGCTCCCAAAAAACGCCGTCAGGTCAGCATCTGTCGACGTTTTTCGGGAGCGTTTTACCAGCGTAAAAATCAAGTTTTATTGTCATAATGGTCATTGTTTGGTCAATGTTTTTTTTCTGTAATATAAGTTTTAATCAACTGAGCGGTTGATGTTGCTTTAATAAAACGAAAACAAAAACGATTAAAATTACATTATTATGTTTTCGGCTTACTCACGTAATAATTTGACGAGGAACTCGACTAGTTTCAAGCCATGCTAGAGGCTCATATTCATGAGCAGCATTTCGCGCCCCGCGACGCGGCGACTGTCGCTACCGGCTACTCGAGTCTGCGGGCCCGGCGCGCCCTCTGCCGGTCCCCGCGCACTTTCTTCCACTCGTGGTGTCGGCGACGGCGGCGCGCGTGACACGCTGTTGGCACGCTAGTCTCGCCGGCAGCTGCTGGGTTCGAACCCCGGGTCGACGCAAAAACAATGTTACACTAGTCAAGTTCCTCGTCAAATTATTACGTAAATAAGCCAAAACATAATAATTTATTTAGCATGTCTCACGAAAGTTACAATACAAATACGATTAAAATTGTAAAAAAATTTTTTTGTCTTCGTTTTGGGTGCATTCCGTTTACACCGTGTATATAATATATACCATATACACTCCGTACATTATGGGCCAAGCGCAGTGTCATACCGCGACCCGGCTCGATGCAGGAGTAGTTTGAATTTCGCCTCGTCTTAGGCGGAAGGATTCACTGGTTGACTATGACCTCTCCTATATAAAAAGTTATCTGTGCTCAATAACCGAATACCCAGTCACTGCGCCAGCCCTGCTATCAATTATCAATTTAACTAAAACTCGCGAGTTACTCACGTGAATATACTGAGAAAAGCTCTACTAGTTTCGAACCACAGAGGTGCACGCTGCTCATGAGGAAGAAGCTTATCTCGGTATATTCACGTGAGTAACCCGCGATTTTTAGTTAATTTAGTATGTCTCACGATAGTTATTATCAAAATTATCAATTTAACTCGTCGAGTACCGTCATTATAGACACAATTATAGAACAATAGGTTGCGGTCACCGGTGACCGTTTGGTGTTTGACAGTTTAATCAATGAAATTAATTGATTATTTTATTACATCATCCACAGATTGGTTTCAACAAAATATGAAAAAAGCAATACATTAGATCCGGATGATACGAGGTACACGGTGGAGGAGGAAGTTATGCTATTGTGGAACAATAAAAAGGTAAAATATATGTTACTAGCGACCCGCCCCGGCTTCACACGGGTGCAATATGTATATACATACAAACATTCCTTAAGAATCACTCTATCTATTAAAAAAAACCGCATCAAAATCCGTTGCGTAGTTTTAAAGATCTAAGCATACATACGGACATACGGAAAGCTACTTTGTTTTATACTATGTATTGATAATATATATTCGAAGTTTACAAAGACGAAGTTCTTTTTTATGGGATTAGCCGGGAAACGATCATACAGATGATGGTAAGCAATTGGCGTTGTACATGGACACCCGGAACATCAGAGGCGTTACAAGTGCGTTACTGGCCTTTTGGGTGGTTTAAAATTTGAGGATTGTTGGGTATTCAGGGATTGGGGAGATAGGGAAGGTCCCCCCCATTTACTATCACCCCGTTTGGCTAATTGGGCCTCCAGGAACTTCACTCTTTCGATGAAACACAACGCTGTTGTTTCCCGTCAGTTTTCTGTGAGGCCGCGGTATCAGTCCGGTCACTGGATTTATCCGCACCCTGTTCAAAATAGATCCCGTAGCCGAAGTTCATCTTGAATGTAGGTACTACACATCAGGGTGTACCTGTACATAGCCAGTATAAACTGAACATAAAATCACGCCTTTTTATCCCTTAAGGTTTACATTACGGCACTTAACGCCACTGTACAATTAATTACATTCTCCGTGTGAGAAGAGGCTTTGCTCAGCAGTGGGCACTTATCGGCTGTTGATGCATGTTGCAGTGTTCCCGCCTCCTCTCCGAGCTGGCGGCGGAGGCCCGCGCGGAGCCCGGCGGGCAGTCCGCCGCCATCCTGGACTACTACCGCCACCAGCTCGACCTGTTCTCCAACATGTGCCTCAACAGGCAGTACCTCGCACTCAACACTCTGTCTCCACAGCTGCATATACATCTTATACTCAAGTAATATCTGTTCTTTATTGTACCTCCTGAGGCCTTAGTACGACTGTGATTAACGTTTAAAGTATTCGAACGCGTACTCGTTACGATTACTTTAAACGTAAAATAAACTCGTACTAAGGCCTCTGGACTATTGAAGTATTGGTGTAATTTCTAATTAAGTACGTTTAATAATTCAACCTCAATCGTTATCTTTTTTTAAAGTCCATTATTGCACTAAAAGCAGCTCCTAAGTTTAACTCGTCGAGTACCGTCATTATAGACACAATTATAGAACAATAGGTTGCGGTCACCGGTGACCGCTTGGTGTTTGACAGTTCAATAAGCATTTTTTTGAAGATCGCAACAAAATTGGTTCAACCAATCGCGAGATAATCTCAGACAAACATACATACATACGTTGATGTCGGTTAAAAAGGTGTTTTATAAAATTCATAAACATAAAATGTTATATTTTGTAGATGTATGTCAAACGCGTCCCTGTCGTACGAGGTGCGCGCTTCGTTCTGCCGCCTCATGCTGCACCTGCACTGCGACAGAGACCCCCAGGAGCCAGTCACCCCTGTCAAGTATGCCAGGCTGTGGACCGAGGTCTGCGACAGGATACATATACACGAGTGAGTCACATGTTACATACAGAGACCCCCAGGAGCCAGTCGCCCCCGTCAAGGGTTTTAAACCCTTGACGGGGGCGACAAACAAATTACTTCGAAAGAAGTCTCCGACTGTCGTCGCGTACGTTTTTTTCATAAATATGACCTCCTGTTGTACCTGAAAACTAGTTGAGCTATGTTCTCGAATTAGCGGTCTCCCGAAACATGGGGGGAAATACGTCGTACAGGTTGGGGAAAAACGGAAACAACACCACATTTCTGAACTCATATTATAATAATTTGTTTTTTTATAATAACTATCTTGAGACCTACTAAATTAACTTAAAGTCGCGTCCTAAAAGTTACTCGCGCGTTATGACCAATAGGAGCCGAGCAGAGCAGGTGAAACCGCGTGAAAGTAGTTAGTTTATAATAAATGTTAATTTTAGTTATCTTTTATCTTTTACCTTTTAACTTTTAAGGTATCTTTTACCTTTTAAAACTCGACGCGGAGTCGAACTAGCGTCACGTCACAGAGCAATCGAGCACCATGTACTTCTCTATAAATCCTGTATCGTTATGTATACGTTTTTAAATTGTTGTTTCAGCTATCAATGTGTTAAAGGCGGACCTGATGCTAACCGGGAGAAGGTTAAAGAGCAGTTTGCGTCCACAATACGCTTCGTGGAAAACTACCTCTGTAACGTGGTTACCAAGACCTGGTACTTTAGTGATCACGATCAGAATAAGTTGACCTTCGAAGTCGTTAAACTTGCCAGGGAACTCATCTACTTCGGATTCTATAGGTAAGTCACGTCTTTGTTTATGGAATAAGCCGGTAAACGAGCAGACGGATCACCTGATGGTAAGCACTCGGGGCTACCCATGGACACCCGAAGTATAAGTGCGTTAGCGGCCTTTTGGGGATTACGAATTTGAGGATTGTTTGGAATCCCCGAAGGACACACTCACACATAGGACCCACTTAGTTTTTAGTCAAATTTCCGTGGTGCTTGGCGACTGGGCTTCACCCAGTTGTACAGTCTCTTCTTTGTGCCTTTAGGCTTAATTCGTTCTGTCTCCTGCAGTAATTCACCGAGGGAAGTGAAAACCATAGTTTTTCTTCTTCTCCTCTTATAATATCTTCTGATTCACTTCGTTGCGGGAACCAAGACAGTTACTCATGTCCCTGGGACGCGCCGGACTTCAGTGTTCCGGTGTTTTCATGGTTGTATCTACTGTAGATCCTGGCTTACAGGAGTTGCAGCGGTTTTGGGAGGTTGTGGCGGGCTTGTCCCATTAAAAAAAAAATCCCCGAAGGATTGGAGAGATCGGGAAGGGGTAAGAGGTAATTGGGCCTCCGATAACCTCATTTACACGACGAAACACAATGCAAGTGTTGTTTCACGTCGGTTTTCTGCTCGGCCGTCGTATTACTCCAGTCGAGCCGGTCGGTTCGTGCCGAAGCATGGCTCTCCAACACTTTTTAAGGCCACTCGGCCAATGAGGCAATAGTCAGTCTTTGGAGCCGCGGACGACGGGTTACCGAGGCTTCGGCAGAAGGAGAAGTAGGAACAGCATGGTTTTCAGTCAGTAAGAGTATTATACTCCCTCTCGCCTCACCCGAGGCGGAAGGAAGTGTCAAGTAATCGTTAAACAAACACGAATTCGAGATCGAAGCTTGCATAAGCGAAAGAGCTCATTTTGAAAGTAAACATTTGAATTCACTTCCGTGTTCTGTAAACAACAAGTACGAATTGTCGAAGCAAAGTGAAATTCGAAAAACTAAAATCGAATTGGTGTTACAGAATTTGTACAGACAAAAAAATCTATGATCCCCGAAGGGTTAGTAGAGGTTTTACCACTAATTATTTATTTTATCAGTCCCATGTAATAGGGGGTGAGCCATTGCTATGCATCGTGCACAGTTCAGCACACTAAGATTGAAAAAAAACCAGTAATACTTTGCCCGACCCGGGAATCGAACCCAAGACCCTTGCCCAAGTCGCACTTGCGACCACTCGGCCAACGAGGCTTTGTACAAACTGGGGATTATTTTTTTTAAATTTGAACTAGTATTAAATAGTATCTATGTTTTCAGTTTCAGTGACCTTCTGCGGTTAACAAAGACATTACTAAGTATTTTGGACTGCGTCACAGCTATGGACCTACTTAACGAGACAAACGCGCTCTCTGGAGAAGTGGAATGTAAGTACAACAGGAAATTTCCAGTCATATTACTTGATGGTAAGCTATCAACGCGCTCACGGACACTTAGAGCACCAGAGGAGTTATGAGTGCGTTGCTAGCTTTTTGGGTTAGGGATTTGAGGATTGCGGACAGGGATGGGGGGATTATAACATAACATAACATTACGCCTTTTATCCCCTAAGGGGTAGGCAGAGGTGCACATTACGGCAATTAAAGCCACTGTACAATGTAATACCCACTTTTCACTATTTATGTTATGAGTCCCATGTAATAGGGGGTGAGCCTATTGCCATATACCGGGCACATTTCCAGACTCCGTGCTACTATTGAGAGTTTTTACAAACCCAGTAATACTTTGCCCGACCCGGGAATCGAACCCGAGACCCCTTGTCCGGCAGTCGCACTTGCGACAACTCGGTCAATGAGGCAGTGGGGGAGCTTATGTCTCCGATAACATCATCTACACACGTTGATGATAGTTTCTCATTAAATATTTATTAACACAAGTTTAAAAAAAATTATTACGTTTGATCCGAAAACGGAGAACTGACAGGTATCACTACGGTAACACCTGAATATTTGAAATAATAATGGTGGCCTTTTGGAATGTTATTCTCTAGAATAAGTCGTCTATTTAAATGAATTTCTATAATATAAATATAAAATTGATGCTTATCTTATAAATGATATTCTTTGTGAATTTGTATGAGTAACGAAGTAATGAATTAATATTATAAATTCAATTTTTTCATTTTTGACGTGGACGTTCCAGGACGTTCATAACAAGTTCCTGTTTGACCTCTTATATTGTGTCGGCTGTAATATTAAAGCATGTTTATCAAGTTGATATAAAAAGTTTCGTGACATACTAAATTAATTATTATATTTTAATAATCACGAAAGTGTTTGAAGAGGAACTCGACTAGGTTCAAGCCATGCTAGAGGCTCATATTCATGAGCAGTATTTGGCGATCCGCGACGCGGTTACTGTCCCGCTCTTACGGTTTTTAACTTAAATTGTTACTCAGCACCTCTGATGCTATAAACATATTTTTGAAAAGTAATTTCTACTGTTGCACGCAGCTCAGGAAAAGGAGATAAAGAAACGTAAGTTAAAACTAACAGACCGCTGAAATTTTACTGCACATCTTGTCCTATTCTACTAATATACCAGTAAGAGTTTGACACTCCCTCCAGCCTCACCGAAGCGGGAGAAGTCATTCGATGATTTCCCCCCTTTAAAAAACCTACTAATATTGTAAATGAAAAATTGGGCAATTGCCAACTAGTCAATTTCAATCCCTTTTTTTAACTGTCAACAACAACAACGACAGTTTGCTATGAATTTTGTACGAGATTGTGTACTGCGACGTCACGTTTTTTAGCGCAAAACAGCGTACTTATTTCTTAAAAATTTGCTGGAAAAGTACTAAAGTTAAGTTTGTCATAAAATCAATGAAAGAGTGATTATTTTTTTATATTTCATTGCATTGAACAGTCGGAATCATTTATTTTTGATTAAGGAAAGTACCAAATAGTGAGGAATTATGTTTGTTACTCACACACGAAGAAACTATTGAATGGATTGGATTAGAAATAAAAGCAAGATAGCTTTTAATCCAAGATAAGTACTTTTAGACTTTAGACTACTTATCATTCGGAATACGGCCTGCTGGACAAATGTCTCGCTTTTATTTATTTATTTATTTATTCGTAGGAATCACATCACAAACATATAACATTTAAAATACACAAAAATAACGAAATAGTGGTCTGATGACTGTGACAATAATGGCGCGCATAGCATTGGCAATTCATCGGCTTAACAATAACTTAAAATAGAATACAATCTGTTAGTTATAGAAAAAGAAAATGACCACAAAGGTTCATACAATACATAATAGTATAAAAAAGAAAACATTAAAAAATTCAACAACAACAATTTTTTTAAAAGGGTTTTTCTAATAATCCCCGCGCTTGGCAGGAGGATCACCGAATGTTTCGAGGATCCTGTCGGTATTTAATGCCTTGTATTGATTCCAGCTGAAGGCGGTGTATTGCGCAGTATTGGTGACATGGGCGCTGTAATGACATCCATCACACTTGGATCTGTCGCTAGAAATGTAAGTGGCATGTAAACAACAAGTTTTTGTAATTTCATGGTGGCCCGTAGGTTTAAGGCGTCCGCTTCTCATGCATTTGCGGGTTCGAAACATACCAACGGCAAGTACCAATAGTAGAAAGTAAGACTTCTAAGACTATTTAGACACCACTGGCAAACGGTGAAGGAAAACATCGTGAGGAAACGTGGGCTTATAATTTCTTATTACAAGTTTGAAATCGCCAACCCGCATTGAGCAAGCGTAGTGATTAATGCTGGAACCTTCTCCGTGTGAGAAGAGGCTTTTGGCAGCTGTGGGCATATATAGGCTGTTGGTAATGGTGATGACGATGAACCAGTATTTTTTTTTTATTTTATCACACACTTTATTTTATGTTTTTCAGTTTCGTTATCTGGCGCCTTATTTACGGAAACAAGAGAGTCAAATAAAACATTTTAATTAATATTTAATAATTTAATTCTGTTAGATTTTTTGTTATTTAACCATGCTTTATGATGTTATCGATAAAGTATTATAAATAAAAAAAAATGTGTTTTTTTAAACGTTCAAATTTCCGGAACTACCTATAGGCTATAAACAGATCAATTGGAGCCGAACAACGTGTCAAATAGCACGTGAACAGCTATCTTTATATATATAATTCTGCTGTACGTGTGTATGTCATTGAAATCCTCCAAAACGGCTTGACCAATTTAAAGGTTTTTTTCTGTAGTCGTTTGGGTGGCGCCCTGGATGGTTTAGATTCACAAATCAGCCCGGCAGATGGCACTGCAGTTGGTTTCTAGGTTATTTATCTATACTGCACCAAACGACTCGACTGGTTTGAATTATTTTTTTTGTTTGCGCTTTGGTGATAGATGATGATTGCCCTAGATGGTTTAGATTCACAAATGAGCCCGGCAGATGGCGCTTCAGTCAATGTTTAGGTTATTTATCTAAAGTAACAATAATAATTATTATTTTATTGGTCTTTCCTTTCATATTTTTTTAATACCCTTATCGCTTGAAATATCATAATATGCAGGACAACGTGTGTTGGGTCCGTTAGTATTTATAAATGTTTTGACCGGTTTATTAATGACTGGATTGATTTCCTAGGCGAGTGGCAACACGTCTAACGCAGGCCCAAGCAGCAGTGGAGGAGGTCTGCAGCGCACTGCGTCCGCGCTGCTACTGGCCCGGGAGCATCCCCTCGTCATGGACACCAAGCTCAAGATCATCGAAATACTACAGGTAGAACTACTTTGGTTTTTATATTCGACTGATCTTTGGCAGTTATCTCGTCTGGTATATTCACTCGGGCCTTGAAAACACTCTGTTGACGAGGTTTGTTGAAAATGATGACACGGTGTATGGAAAGATAAATCACTTTAATTAAGCAAGCTAAATCTATGATACACGTGTAAGTATTGATGCGAGCGCGCTGAGCGAGTGCGTGGCGAGCGAGGCGCGCCGGCCTGCACCGCCCGGGGTGCGCGGGCACGCGGTGCAGCGTTAACACACAGGTTTTTAGGATACTGAAAGTTGCCACAGCGACGGAATATTGAGAAGACATACGGCCTCGATCTCAGTTACATAAGGAGAAGGACAAAAAGATAAAGAAGATGATGATCGATCTGTCATTATATCTAAATTATTATTCTTTGTCTCCAGTTCATCCTAGACGTAAGATTGGACTATCGCATCAGCTGTCTCCTGTCTATATTCAAGAAGGAGTTCGAGCAGGCCGGCGAGAGGTCTGCTGATACTATTGGCAGAGCTGATGTGGAAGCTATTGGCCTTCAAGCTGAAGGCATTTTTAGCTGTCGGTAAGTCACAGAAGTGTATAACGGGAGTCACGGAGGTATTTATCAAACAAGATTATTTGGTTTGACGTTTAAGTTATTTAAAAAAAAAATAAGTTTTTATATGTTGGGTATTTATTTATTTCAATTAAATAGTATAACATTACAGTTATAAAACCAAAGCGTTATATGTTTCAAATAATTATAAAAGAAAAAAGAAAACAAAACAGAAAAGTCCTTAACTCTTCGAGTACCGTCATTATCGACAAAATTAAAGAATAATAGGTTGCGGTCACCGGTGTCCTCGCGGTGTTTGACAGTTTAAATGATAAATTGCAAACTTGGTAGAAAAATATAAAACAAACAATAAGAATAAGAAAACCTTACTGACAGGTTTTAATACCAATAATCAAAATATACAATATAAAATAAATAAGACATTTACATACAACACAATAGAAAATAAAATACAGTAATACATTTATACACTCGCACAACTTCATGCATTCGTTGCACACAGTCCTCCAGCTTGACGCAAATATATCACACTCTGGTGATGATGTCAGAAGATCATTTATCAGTGTGAGGGCACGAACAAGCGAATGAGCACGTGACATAATGCGGGTGCTAGGCACGGCCAGTAAGCAGTGGCTGCGGGCCTTAGTTATCCTTGATTACATACTATAGTCCCAAGCACGTAAAATTGCAATGTATTATTGTGGTGATGATAATTGTGAATAATAATATTTCATGGTATCAAAAAGTTTAAACAATTAATTTTTAAAGTACCCAATTAACTAAAATCACGGGTTACTCACGTGAATATACTGAGAAAAGCTCTACTAGTTTCGAACCACAGAGAGGTTCTTCCTCATGAGAAGCGTGCGCGGTCGCGGCGACGTCGCGCAGCTCACTGAGCTCACTGAGTATATTCACGTGAGTAACCCGTGATTTTAGTTAATTTAGTATGTCTCACGATAGTTATTATAAGTACCCAATTGTAAAAAATAACGAATAATCTTGTTTGATTCCCAGGGCTATAAGAAGTGGCATTCATTTATTTCTAAATACAATTCTTTCTTATGGTACATTTAACTGTTGATTAATATTCTTCTACGTAGCTTAATTTTACATTTGGTAAAAATTGTCTTCTTCTGTACATCTTTTTAATAAACAATATTAGTTATTCTTCAGACTATGTAATTTCATGTCGAGTTATGTAAAACAAATCTACTTGGTATAAAGTAATTAATGTAATGTTGATCTTTTCTGTATCTTTAAATTTCGTTTTGGTTGAGTTTAAATTAATTTTTACTGTTTTTTTTCTATTATACTTCTTGAAACTATTATTCCGTCTACCCTTTCGGGGCCTAACAGGGGTAATGTTGCCAGTTTATTGAGTCTTCTATCGCCTTGAGAAATAAAACTACATTTAAACAACTGAATTCAGAAAAATTTAACAAAAAATAACTATGAAGTATTAATTGTACTTCCTAAGTCCCTACCCACTGACAGTTTAAAAGTGCCCCGAGTCCTAAACTCTGGATTTCCCTGGAATCTTAACATCAGATGCTAACCAGGTGATAACAGTACCAACTTGAAAGTATTCCATTCCAAACAAATAAATAATCACGATTCTATGAGACAGTCGAATGAGACTTGTTTAAGTAATCGTTGTTGTACAAATACACAAAGAGCCATCAGACCACCACGGATGGGGCCCAATAGGGTTGATGCCGATACGGAGCCGCGGAGAACGTAAAGGTTACCGGGGCTCCGGCTCGAAATGCGGGAGTAGGAACGGAGTGGTTTTTAGTAAGAGTCTTGACACTCCGACACTTCGACTGCACGGTTGGTGCGGTGGTTGGGCAACCGGCTGCCGTGCAACGTGTCGCGGGTTCGATTCCCGCACGGAACAAAACTTTGTGCGATCCACAAATTGTTGTTTCGGGTCTGGGTGTCATTGTGTATGTGAACTTGTATGTTTGTAAACGCACCCACGACACAGAAGAAAATTCTAATGTGGGGCAACGTTTTATAAAAAAAAAAAAAAACAAAAACAAAAAACAAACTCCCTCCCGCCTTATCCAAGCGAAAGTCATTCGAAGATTTTCTCCTCTTAAAAAAAGTAACAAACACTGCTGGAAACCACATCAAAATCGGTTCAGTCTTTCGCAAGATAATCGCGAACAAACAATCTGAGAATCTCCATTTTTGAAGTCGGTTTAAAAGTTGATTTATTTTAATATGGCCCTGAATTAAATTAATTAATTCAAACTCAACTAAAACAGTACATGGAACACTTGTATTACTTCAAAAGTAGTTTTATCTTTGTTATCTATAATTGGTATCACTATTAATTAGTGACTAACGCATGCTAACTGGTGGTGGGTCGATTACATTAATAATGGTCATTGCATATAGACTGTACATAACACACATGTGACTCCTCTGATGTTGCGACGGAAATGTTGTAAATTTTTTGTTAGTATCATCTTTTTATGGAATAAGACGGTAAACGAGCAGACGGATCACCTGATAGTAAGCAAAAGACACCTGAAACACCAGAAGCGTTACAAGTGCGTTGCCGGCCTTTTGGGGACTAGGAGTTAGAGGATTGTTGGGGATTCGGAGATTGGGGAAGGGGGGAGGGTAGCTGGGCCTTCAATAACCTCACTCACACGACGAAACACAACGCAAGCGTTGCTTCACGTCGGTTTTCTGTGAGGCCGTGGTATCCGGTCGAGTTGGCCCGTTCGTGCCGAAGCTTGGCTCTCCCACACTTCAAATCTTCAAGCGTTTTTGTTATTTTCGTCTTGTATTGATGTTCAATTAGCAAGATGAAAATACTAAGGGGTAATGTTATTGCGTTGTGTAATTAACATAACATTACGCCTTTTTGTGTTTCAAAGGGAAGGCCAACATTGGTCGTGTTTTAGGGTGGCGCTGATCGCTTACTGTTAGGTGATCCGTCTGCTCGTTTGCCTCTTATTCTATTTCACCATCTTCATAATATAAATATACACATTGCAATCTATTTCATTTTCGTCCCCGGCATAACAACTTACCATAAGTAGTACTTTTGATGTATAAAGTAAAAACAAACAAATAAAAGTGTAATTTATAATAGTTAAAAAAATTTACTTCTTCATTGGCCGAACGGTCGCAAGTGCCACTGCTGGACAAGGGATCTCGGGTTCTATTCCCAGGTCTGGCAAAGTACAACTGGTTTTTTTTTAATCACAGTGGTAGCATGGAGTCTGGAATTGTGCCCGGTATATGGCAATAGATACTCACTATTATATGGGACTTATAACATAAATAGTGAAAAGAGGTTGTTACATTGTACAGTGGCATTAAGTGCCGTAATGTGCACTTCTGCCTACACATTCGGGGATAAAAGGCGTGTTGGTATATGTTAAAAAAATGTTTATGGAAATACGCACGTGAAACACTAGACGCAACTTTGTAGGCACTATTTGCATCGGATATGCCTTGACCAGAAATATCTCTTCGGGAATTACATGACGTGATGTTTTGATAATGTACTTGGAGTTCGTATGCGGAGTTCGGATATTTCGAAGTTTGCTTTTGCAATGGTACACCCAATGGTTAAACCGACCCGAACATTTCTAATTCCCTACAAAAAAAATGTAATCAGAAATCCTAAAATTCTTGTAGTAAACAAAAGCTGTTTTTTTTTTTTTAATATTATAGATTATTTCTCCACGGACTCTAGGTCCGTGCCCTTGTCATACAATTTTTTAATTATAATACATCTAGTCAATTTATTATAAAGTAAAGAGGGAACCTAGTTACACACTACAATTAACTACATCTATAATTATTACCAAAAGTATAGGTTACATAATAATTAGGCACTATTTATTTATTTCTATTTCAAAGGCTTTAATATATATAAACAAAAGCTGTTTATATAGCATCTTACACTGTTTTCTTTGAATCTATTCCTCGTTATTAACTATCTGTGTACTGTCAAAGTTACAACTCGATAATTATATAACATGAATCAAAGTTATCTAAAAATCACGAGTTATTCAGGTATAAACTATATTGTTATATTGTATATACTATATTGTATATACAGTTACTCAAATATATTGAGAAAAGCTCAAAAAACTAGGCAGCGCGACATCGCCGCGACCACGCTGCTCATGAAGAACTCAATATATCTCACGATAGTTATTATGAAAACATGTTTCATTACTTTACTCATTACTTTTACGAACACACCATTCTACACACTCACACACGCACGCGCAGATCACAGACTCACAGATCTATATGTAAAGACCATATAAACAAAACTTCTAATTAAAAAAGTCTATCTTTAACATTACTGGAGATACATATTTTGTCTTATGACCTTCTTAATAAGTATATCAACAATTCTGTCTAAGTTTGGGAATGTAAATCCTAGGTTTCGGAATAGTAAAACTGGTACTAATTTCATATGTTTTTCAGAGCGATACAAACTGTGCCTGACTGCTGTCTGCCCAAAAATGTAGATTTGTTAGTAAGATGAAAGTATTTGCATGAAATGATTCGCATGTGGTTGGTTAATTAATCGGCTTTGCTCCAAATACTGAAAGGCTACTCAATTTTCAAATTGGTATGATGACAGGGTATGAAAATTAAAAATCTAATTAGTCCGTAAGTTAGGTAATGAAAAAATATTAGACACGTATTTTTTATTTTGTCGTATAATAAAACAATACTTATATAAAACGAAACAAAGTTTAGGAGTGGGGGCTAAAACGTAATTTCTACGTATAAAATGTACAATAGAAGTGACGTCACGCGGAATTCAAATCAATATGTCGTCAAAAGTATTCGTTTCTATAAGAAAATAAAAAATACGTGTCTAATGATTTAAATAATCTACCAGATGGACATTAAAATAAAAATTAGGCATCTACCCTATTGTACTTGAATATCGTGCCATCTCTGTCATTTTACAAAGGATTTGTAGCGACAGAACTATACTTAAGCGCGTCTAAAAATTGAGTGACCTTTGAGTATTTGGACATTTGCTCATCAATTTGGTCTTTTGCTCCTTAATTGTGGAAGAGTAAAATTTCTTATTACGTCTGGTGGTAAGCATACTAAGGGACTACACACTTTACTGAGACTACCAGGAGCTCTGATCTCTCTGAACCTTTATCCATTTAGTAAGAGAGCCATGCTTCGGCACGAATGGGCCGGCTCGACCGGAGTGATACCACGGCCGAGCAGAAAAGCGACGAAAACACTTACGTTGTATTTCGTCGTGTAAGTGAGGTGACCGGAGGCCCAATTACCCAATTTTCCTAATCCCTGAATCTCCAACAATCCTCAAATTCCTAATCCCCATAAGGCCGGTAACGCACTTGGAACGCCTCTGGTATTTCGGGTGTTCATGACCGGCGCCGAGTGCTTATTGATCCGTTTGCTCGTTGACCAGTTAATCTCATAAAAAACTTTATATTCGTATATGTCAACGTGTCAGTCAAGGGCTGATGAGGACAATACGACAATGCTGAGATGGTAACTTAATGTAACAAAAACACACCCTCATGAATGAGAAGCGGGCGTCTTAAACCTCTGGGCCACCACGACCACAAGGATTTTAACATACCACTGTGTTTATGTTCAAAGGAGAAAAAGACCAAACAAGGAGCTCTAGAAATAACCCTGCATGTCAAGCTGTGCTTGTACTAACGGACTGGTTAACATTAACAGTGACTAAATCCTTAAACCTATTTGTCTTAGCGTATATCTAAAGGAGAAAACATGCTTACGTGTCATGACACGCTAGTAGTATATCGGTTTCAAACATTTACTATAGTTAGAGATTAGAGACACATTTGTGTGTCGTGTTCTGTCAAATGTATGATACTACAAGTATGTTTCCGCCTTAAACCTTAGAGTTACCCGAGTAGTATTTTATATACTATATATAGCAATATACAGAGCCGTATTATCCTTAAGGCAAACTAGGGAACTGCCTAGGGGGTTAGGTTACAGAGGGGTGCCACGAGAAGCTCGTGCCCGTAGAGAGGCAGCGGTGAAAGAAGAAGTTAGGGGCACCTATGGCATGCTTATGGCGTTGTCTAGGTTTAATCAGCCCCTGGCAGTATATGCATATTCCTCGCGCAGTTGCCTGCTGCTTGATTCGTTCGTGAAGCTAAAAAGTATATGCAAGAGTTGATCCCAAATGAATTTTGCATTTATTTGTTATGTTTGACAAGGAAAATTTTCACTAACCATTTATTTTCAAAATTGTTATGTTTTGTTACTAAAATGTATTTCTGTTTATTTATTATTATTTTATTATGCGAAGATTTTATTTTTACTTTGTGATTTTCTTGTCTTGCTTTATTTTTATTTTATTTTCTTTTTCCTTTACCTGCGATATATGCGGAATGAAAGTCTATAGAAAGCTTATAAAAATAGTGTATAATATTGTACTAAATATGTTATTTTAAATTGTTACTGAACAATGTAATTTTGTGAATGTAATAATTCGATTGCTTGCAATCTTTTGTTTCATTTAGACCCGTTTTCACTATTCAATAAAATAAGGCAATTTTTGCCAACCACTTGTAAACTAACTAAGCGTCACTTTGCGTGATTGACTACTTAATATGACCCCTTAGTTTTAGCAGTCCTTATTGGTTGATGACAACTAAAGTGTCGTGTGCTAAAATGCATCCACGACACAGGAGAAAATCCTAGTGTGGGGCAAAGTTTAAAAAAAGGAAATAAAAGTCTTTTCTAAACCTTTAAGAAAATAGACTTCAAACCTCCTCTTTTTATGAATTCAGTTAATTAAACTGTCAAACACCAAGCGGTCACCGGTGACCGCAACCTATTGTTCTATAATTGTGTCTATAATGACGGTACTCGACGAGTTAATATACTAAAACATTCTCCTAACTGTACCAAATACTTTTTTGAAAACCGAATCGAATTCGGTTAACCCATACACCCCAAGCGGTCACCGGTGACCGCTCTCCACTAACTACATTATAGACCTTATTTCCAATGTTTAGAGACTACTTTTGTATGAACAAATTAAGCCAATCGCACACAAACATACATACAGGTCAAAATGAGAACACCTTCTGTTTTTGAAGTCAGTTAAGTAATGTCACCTGTTATTTTCTTAACATTTTTGAGATATTGGTGAGGATAACATAACTTATCTGATATCTAGACCTTCTTAATGATTCTCTTTCATATATATACAGTATATTTAATTAGATAAGGTACGATGGGGTTGACATTTCAACAAAGACAAAAATCCCTACAAACTATGGAGGACAATAAAAAAAAGTTATTGGTGAAAACGGGCACAAAAGTGGTACAGGAATTGCAATCTATAGCCTAATATTATACACTAATTTATTCACACGAACTTGGTATAAGGAACCAAAATTCCATTTGAACCATTTATTCCACGTCCAGGGATGGTCTTGATCTCGATGAGTGCGGCGGTCGGATGGTCCTCCGCGTGCTGCTGCAGCTGTGTTCGCAGGGTGCGTCCGCGGCCCTCGTGTCCGGGGCCCTGGCACTCCTGTTCCGGCACTTCAGTCAGAGGCAGGAAGTACTCGCTGCGTTTAAGCAGGTACACATTTACACATTTGTTTTTATAATAACTATCGTGAGACATACTAAATTAACTAAAAACTGTGGGTTACTCACGTGAATATACTGAGGAAAGCTTCGACTTCGCCGCGACCCCGCACGCTGCTCATGAGGAAAAACCCATCTGTGGTTCGAAACTATACTCCGTCTGTTTAGGTAGTTAACTATTTGTAAACAAACCATAAAAAGAGTTCTTTATAGTTGACATTTCCATGACTCAAAATACTTCATAAGAAAATAAAATTGTTTCCGTTTTTACGACAGTTTTCTCTATTAAATGTTATGTTTCTGTTCCTTTTCACTTATTTCTTAGTAAATATTATATATATCGCTTGAGCATAATAATTTAATAACATTTTTTATTAAATAATATATTATTTCATTACAATAGACACCATAAAGAGCCTAAAATCCCAGGTATCCAAAACCTTTCTTTATGAACGAAGCATTAGATAATGTTGTCAAATTGAAGAGTACAATTAAGATGTAGCGCGACAATGAAAGTAGCGTGTATTACGTTTAGTCGGTTAATCAGGCGCCATTGACAGCTCTCTCGTCGTTTGCGCTCGCGTTCCTATTTTGTTGAATTTATCTTGTTTTTGTTTTGTTTTTGTTATTACGTTATTTAAGTTTAGGTTATTCATCGTTTGTAATTATTGTGTTCAAATATATTGAAGAAACTTGGCCCAAAGACACATATCCGTACAAGAAAGAAATCCGTACATCAGATTCAGAATAGTTTCTATTTAAACATGATAATGAAATAGACCCATAGGCTAGGCTCTTGTACGATTTAGGCATTTGTGCTTGTATGTGTGTGTGACAAATGAACGATGTTAAAGTGAATTTAGTTTAAATTAAAACACGAGAAATATTTGAAGTAATAGAAGGTTAAGTATCTCTGTGTCACGTGGTTTTGTTTGTTTACCTTTAGTTAATTACCTAAACAGATGGACTATAGTTGATCTTTTCTCAGTATATTCACGTGAGTAACCCGCAGTTTTTGATTACCCTTACCGCACCATTAATAGCCTTTTCGCTTCATCAATCTCTTTTTTGAAGTCGGTTGATTTTCCGAAAACCGCATCAAAATCGGTTCAGCCAATCGTGAGCTAATCGCGCGCATACAGGTCAAACTAATTTTTGAAGTTGGTTAATTTTTGAATTAGATTAATTCATTACTTTTTGCTACTGAACCGATCGATAGTTACATAAGGTGTGATTTAGTTAAAACCTATATTATTTATCATCACAACATCACGCCTTTTATCCGCGAAGGGGTAGGCAGAGTACCACCATGTAATAGCCTATTGCCCTATACCGGGCACAATTCCAGACTCCGTGCAACTACTGAGAATTTTTTTAAAACCCAGTTATAATTTGCCTGCACCGCGAATCGAACCCGAGACACCTTGCCCAACATTCGCACTTGTGACCACTTGGCCAACGAGGCAGCACTATATTATTCAGTATGTATAATGTTAGCTGCTGGTCTCTGAACTGAGTTCTTTATATTCTAACACAGGTTAGCATAAATATTTCGAATAAACCTTTCTACTTTTTGTTTTAGGTCCAACTTCTTGTGTCTGATGCGGACGTGGAGTCCTATAAGCAGATAAAAGCGGACCTGGACCTTCTCAGACAGAGCGTGGAAAAATCTGAACTGTGGGTGTTCAATAAGGGACGTGCGGTCCTTATTGATGAACATATTAGTAAGTACCAACATTTACTTCGCGTTCAATACACTACAGGGAGGCCTACCGGATTTTTGCTCACTAAATGGTACTAGAGAAGAACCTAACGGGTAACCGGGGCTCCGACTCGACGTGCAGGAGAAGGAACGGGGTGGTTTTTAGTCAGTAAGAGTCTGACACTCCCTCCCGCCTCACCCAGGCGGGAGCAGTCATTCGATGATTTTGAATGGGACAATACCACAACATGAGCCATTTAATGTTGAACAAAAAACATGATTGTAATCACAAAGTGAATCAGTGTACACGTCATACATAACATGAACTCACCTTTTCTTATAACGCCTTGGTTTTATAACTGTAATGTACTATTTAATTGAAATAAATCCTTAATAATATTGTAAATCGGAAAGTGATTTTGTTTGTTCCGCTTTCACGCCATAACTACAAAACCGATTGCTTTGAATTTTCACAGACGTAAAGTTAGAAGTCCGGATTAAATAATAGGGTACTTTTTATCCCGGAAAATGTGATATTCCCGAGGGAAAACAAAAGTATTGGTATAGATGGCGCTGTGTGTATTGGTATATGTCACATAGGCTACTTTTTATCATTTTGTGACGCGAGCGAATCCGCGTGTAAAAGCTAGTAAATAAATAAATAGAAACTGTTCTTAGGCTTCCTGCGTCCCATTCATCCTGCTACTGGACACGACTTTACAAAACAAACCGATCTTATACCAGCCTTCTGAGGAGGTTACCGAGGTTTTTGGGGATTACCTCATTTTCCGACATAACTGTCGGTACAAAGATAGCTGAGTCCACATTCCACATACACCCGTATGTTTATGTTTTTAGGCTTTTATCAAAAGACATTAACTCGTCGAGTACCGTCATCATAGACACAATTATAGAACAATAGGTTGCGGTCACCGGTGACCGCTTGGCAGTGGCGTGCACAGGTTTTCGAGACAGGGTAGGCAACTAAATATCGTATGATTAAACCCCTCCCCCCCGCCGGTCATACAATCATGCTCACACAAGATAGGTACATGTACATAATATATTTTGAAAAGTGCGTTCAAGAATATTGTGGTGTATTGTTTCGCCAAATTACATACACTGACATCTCGCGTATTTTTTGTGAAGTACTTCATCAGCTATTGAATAAGCCAACAAAACTTACAAATAATGAAAAGTCTATTATTTATTTTAATAATGAAGCATAAATTTGATGAACCAAATTTCATTATGGAATTGTTAAGGTTAATCAATCTGGTCAAAATCATAATATATTACGAATTTAAGAGCGTAGGTACCTACATTATGTCAACAAACAAAACAATAACAAGCGCGGCCGGCTGTGGCCGAGCCGGCCGAGTCTATGCGGTACATTTGTTATTACTACATTACATAAATATTAATAATAAATTAATATGTGAATCAGTACAACCCGAAGTCTAAGTTGATATTTTTAAGAATTATCAAACAATAAACAAGAAAATCAAATAAAAGATCCATTATAGTACATATTTACATTACCTACCTTTTACTTGGGTCAATTCTCGTAACTCGAGTACACCTCTGCCTATGGTCATTACCTGAATCTAGTCCGATAAAGGACATTGCGAAATCTTACTGTTTTTACTTTCAACAAACACATAAAATTACCTATTATTCACACACACTTCACAATCGAATAATATAGGTACTTGTACTAGAAACTGAGAAACAAATACACTATTTGAAAAACCTACACATATATTTAACTACTACTACACATTTATGCAACTTTATGTTTAAAACTAATTCCTAATAATTTAAACGAAAACATAAACAAAGCGATCGCACATCACATGAAAACAATATGGCCGAAAACATTGGAAATGAATTGAAGTCATTACCAATAGTCAATTGAGTGTTTATTATAAAAAAAATGTAGCTTAAAAATTAAGGTAACGCAGCGTTTAATTTCAAAAAAACAAACGTTAATTTAGTAAGTCAAATGAAATTGCATCATCGTCTTAAACCAATATTTCATACTAAAAAACATTCATTCATATAATTTGAAACGTTGTAAATGGCGCCATCTTGACGTATCAATAACTTCCTTTTAACTTTTATAATAATAAAGTCAACTCCTCGTTTAAAATTTCTATAAACCGACAACGCGTAAAAATGTTAAACTTTAATTAAAACACTTGAAAAATATTTGTTAAATACGCATTTATAAAAATACATTCGCATTATATCGAACGAGTTCAGAAGTTTCAACAAAAAATTCAATAGATGGCGCTGGTGTACTCCATTCATCAGTACTTTACGATATACATACAAATTTTATCAATTTAAATCCTTTTATGATTTAATTGTTTTTAAAAATACAATAACTTGTTGTTGTTTTATTGTATTTAGAATTCTTAATAAAATACGATCGTTTTCCAAGTGATGAACGAACGGTCCTCTAATTTTTTAGTTGCAAACATTTTGTCAATCAACAGGAATCGCGTAATATAATTATGAATGGTTATTCTGTACCGTGACTATGGTCGTGAACTTCACGCATGCGCGGTGCATACTTTTGGTACATTTCTTTTGTGACGTCACTACTGCCAACCAAGATTTAAGGAATAGTGGCGCATGCGTGGTGCGTGCGGGGCGCATTCATTACTTTACAAAGGCGCGTATTTATGTAAGCCGTTTTTTTACAAACTTTTATTATATTATTGAATTTTAATAAACGCGTTTGTACATTATATGTATGTTATATATTCACGATATTTATAGGTAGGCAATGCCTTTTCGCCTATATGGACTGCACGCCACTGCCGCTTGGTGTTTGACAGTTTAATGTGTTTCTAGTTTTTAAATAACATACATGTTTTGCCACGGTAATTAAGTACAACTTAAAATTAGTAGGCTTTCAATATTCGGGCGTAAGGCCCTTTGATTGGCAAAAGTCTTCAATTCTACAAAAGTGGGGAGGGGAGTCCATACATTTTTGAGCATTATCCTTTCTTTATTAGAATTTGTGGTTTCGATTCAAATCCGAAAATAGAATAGGGTAGATGCCTAATTTTTATTTTAATGTACGTCCGGTAGATTCTTTTAAAACATTAGACTCGTATTTTTATACAGAAACGAATACTTTCGACGATATATTGATTTGTAATGGCGCGTGACGTCACTTTTATGTACCTTTTATACGTAGAAATGACGTTTTAGCCCCCACTCCAAAACTTTCGTTCGTTATATCTACGTATTAGGTATTTTAATAAACAACAAAGTAAAAAAAATACGTGCCTAATATTTTTTCATTGCTTAACTTACAGACAAAACAGATTTTTATTTTTCATACCCCGTCATCATCCCTATAAGTTATTTATTATTATGTTTGTTCATCAGGTGTAACAGGCACGGTCGTAGGCCCGGGCGGCGCGGTGCTGGAACGTAACACGTCGCTCGAAAATGTTCTAGACACTTCTAGAACGGCCAAACACGACCACAATGAATATAAGAAAGTTAAAGAGGTAAGACGTCATTTACTTGTTTGTGCTTTGTCGTGTGAGTGAAGTTGCCGGAGACCCAAATTCTATTTTCTTTCTCCTTCTTCTTCCGTACCCAAATTCCCAATCCCTAAAAGGCCGGCAATGCATCGTTTTTTTTATTCACCGGATGGCCCAAACGTAGCAAGAAGTTTGTTGTCCAACAGTGTGACTATACTAACTCCCTATTGAACAAAGAACGAGAAGTTCGCTAGCATCAATTGATGAAAATACCTCCATTTTAACTCTAGCAATCGGCGTCACCCATAGACAGTTGGAACAGCTGAAGTTACAAGTGCGTTACCGGCCTTTTGAGGGATTAGGAATTTGAGGATAACTGGGGATTTAGAGATTGGGGAAAGGAGGGGGGGGGATTAGGGCCTCTGGTAACCTCACTCAAACAAGAAAACAAAACGCAACTATTGTTTCAAGTCGGTCTACTGTTCGACTGTATCATTCTGGTCGAGCTGAAGAGCATGGCTCTCCCACACTTCAACGTCACTTCACTTGTACGTCCGACCGGTGTGTTTGCGCAGGAATACCTCCATTTTAACTCTAGCAATCGGCGTCACCCATAGACAGTTGGAACAGCTGAAGTTACAAGTGCGTTACCGGCCTTTTGAGGGATTAGGAATTTGAGGATTGTTGGGATTCAAGGATTGGGGAAAGGGGGGGGGGGGGTTTGGGCCTCTGGTAACCTCACTCACACAAGGAAACACAACGCAAGTATTGTTTCAAGTCGGTTTTCTGTTCGACTTTATCATTCTGGTCGAGCTGAAGAGCATGGCTCTCCCACACTTCAACGTCACTTCACTTGTACGTCCGACCGGTGTGTTTGCGCAGATCCTCCAGCGCATGATACGATACTGCACGCACGGTAATAGCGGCGGCAACGGCGGCGACAGCGGCCACAGCGGCCACAGCGGCCACAGCGGGCGCGACGGTAGCCGGCCGCGCCGCCACGAGCAGCGACTACTGCGGAACATCGCCGTGCACAACATCGTGCTCGACCTGCTGCAGGTCCGATACACACTGTTTTTTTAGAAATTAAACGTTGCCCCACACTAGGACTTTCTCCTGTATCGTGGGTGCGTTTACGAACATACAACTTCACATACAAAATGACACCCAGACCCGAAACAACAATTTGTGGATTGCACAAAGTGTTGTTCCGTGCGGGAATTGGACCCGCGACATGTTGCACGGCAGCCCCGGTTGTCCAGCCACCGCACCAACCGTGCAGTCAAATGTACTATATATACACTATATCCCACTTGTGCTTGTACATGTATAAAAGTACATCTATACAGATAAATGTATACCATGTGAATTTGTGTGTTTGTAAAAGCACTCACGACACAGGAGACATTACTAGTATGAGTCAAGTTTAAAAAAAATGAATTGTCTGTTTGTAATATTGAAATATATCGCTTTTTACTACATGCATATCATAAATTCTTCCAATTTGACATAGGCTACATTTCATTTTGAAAAAAATTAGGGATCCTTGGTAAAATTTGAACAATGCAACCGAAGGTGTAGAAAAATGAGTTAGTTAGAGTCTTAAAATGTCTTTCGTCGAATGCGCTGCCGAAACTATTAGCGATAGAACAAAATAATGTACAACAATATTGAAGAACATCATAATGTCTACAAAAAACTCCGCGGTAGCATATGTCCAACTATTGTAGTTATGTCACTACAACAATCCAAATTTCCAAAAATAAATAATTGTCTACTCCGTGCGAAGCCGGGACGGGCTGCTAGTACATAATAATATGATACGTATACCAAAATAACATTTTTTACAATTTTTGTCTGTCTGTCTGTCTGTACTGGCGTCTTTCAAATGGCTGGACCAATTAAGACGGGATTTTATATAATTTTACCTGGATTTTTTTCCGGGAGTTTTGAAAATCGGCAATTTTGTAGATATTGTTGTGCTCTTTTCGATTTCCATTTTGCACCTTTGTGCTAGCGCCGCCATCTTGGAAATATGGCGGTCAGACACAGTTTCTTTACAATATCTATTTTCCTGTTCCGTTTTTCACGTTCACGAGAAAACCGTTACCTACAAAATTAAACTACTCACAATTTTTTACAATTTATGTCTTGACAGCTTCTTTGTACTACTTAATTATCGCATTACTACTTTTGTTTTAGAAAAATGCAGACCAAGGTACGGGTTTAGCCAGTTCTAGAAATTTTAAATATTCTATATAAGTACGTTTAGTTTGTAAAATCATAATTAATACTAAACTGCATGGTTGGTGCGGTGGCTGGGCAACCGGCTGCCGTGCAACGTGTCACGGGTTCGATTCCCGCACGGGACAACACTTTGTGTGATCCACAAATTGTTGTTTCGGGTCTGGGTGTCATTGTGTATGTGAACTTGTATGTTTGTAAACGCACCCACGTCACAGGAGATAATCCTAGTGTGGGGCAACGTTTAAAAAAAAAGTCTTGTGTTTTAAAAAGTTTTTAAATGAAATTTAATTTTGTACCTTGTGTCTCGCAGGTGCCTCATGACGAAGACGACATGGCGATGGATGAACTCCTGGCATTAGCTCACGAGTTCCTCCAACACTTCTGTCACGGCAACCAACAGAACCAGGCGATACTTCACAAGCACCTGGACCTGTTCCTTAATGCGGGGGTTAGTATATTGTATTTAAAAAAATGACAGTTTTCCTTAGAAAAAAAATAATTAATTCGGTTCGAAATTTTATTTACTTCAAGTTATGAAAGACTGCCTCGTTGGCTGAGTGGTCGCAACTGGCTGCTAAGAAACGTGTCGCGGGTTCGATTCCCGCACGTATCACACAAATTGTTGTTTCGAGTCTGGGTGTGATGCGTATGTGAAATATGGTATTTTACAACTAATCAAATTCAATACTTTTATCGAAAGACGTCAAAAACGATATTATTCTATGAATTTTGTACCAAAAAGTGACTTATGACGTCATCATATTTTCGAATCAAATAGCACATCTGAAAAAAAATCTATAATAAATCGAAAATTAAGTATGTCGTCAAATATATGTAAGAAATTGTAATTATTTTTAAATTTTTAAATGGATTGTATAATCAAAATAATTTATTTTTCACCCAGGACACACACGTAAATACAGTATGTTTGTAAAAGCTTAACAGATAATCTCAGCGTGGGGTAAGGTTTTTTTCCAACATTACATTTGTCGCCAGACCCGCGAGGCGCAGACCGTGTGTTCGATATTCAAGGACAACGCGGCGCTGTGCGCGCACGAGGGCAACGAGAAGGTGGTGGCGCACTTCGTGCACTGCATCGAGTCCCGCGGCCGCCGCCCCGCATACCTGCACTTCCTGCAGACCATCGTGCACGCAGACACGCACTACATACGGAGGAGCCAGGATCTGGTTATGCAGGAGGTCGGCCACCGTACACTTCCTACTTCTATTATGTTTGTTACGCGACCACGTCATAACGACTGAAGGGTTCGCGATCAAAATTAGAACACGGATAGATATTTGTCTGGCATAACACATGGGCTACTTTTTATCCCACGAAACCGCGGGCGAAGTCACTAACAGAAGCTAGTACTTCATATATGAAGCTGAACTGTTTATTTGTTTGTTTTAACTTCTGATATCTCCAGAACTACATACTAAGTTCTGGAGATAAAGTTGAGTATATGAAATAACTAACTTCTTTCGCGCGGTTGCACCCTCTCTGCTCGGCTTCTATTGTTCGTAGCCTGTTCTGATATTTTATGGCCTATAGCTATCCTCGATAAATGGACTATCCAACACAAAAGGAATCATTGAAATTGGACCAGTAGTTCCGCAGATAAGACCGTTCAAACAAACAAACTCTTCAGCTTTATAGAGGTAGTTATGCTAGCTTTTGCCCGCGACTTTGTACGCGTAATTCCGTTTTTTTACGATCCCGTTCGTGATTTTCACCACAAACTAGAAAATCCTTTGTCCGTCTCCTGGTTCTAAGCTACCTCCTCACCAATTTTCATTCAAATTGATTTAGCCGTTCGTGAGTTATAAATAGTGTAACTAACACGACTTTATTTTATACTAGCAACCCTCCCCGGCTCCGCACGGGTGCAATATGCATGTATTATACATATAACATGCCTTAAGAATCACTCTATTTATTAAAAAAAAACCGCATCAAAATCCGTTGCGTAGTTTTATAGATCTAAGCATACATAGGTACAGACAGACGGGGGAGCGACATTGTTTTATACTATGTAGTGATATATAGATTTTTATTATGTAATAGATTATAATTAAAACAGATAAGGAAATAATTCCATTATGAATGTACACTGTACCTACATGGATATTAATTTGTTGTAGATGGTAAATGCCGGCGAAGACGTGTTAGTGTTTTACAATGACAAGGTATCGTTCAACAACTTCATACAGATGATGCGACAATATCGGAAAACTAACGAAATGCCGGAAGCGCTCAGGTAACACCCACTATACTTGATAAAATTATGATCTAAAAAAAGAATTTCTTAAAGCTAAAAATTAGGAGTTACTCACATAAATATACTGTAAAAAGCTCTACTAGTTTCCGAGTCACAGTAACTCGGTAATTTTTAGTTCATTTAGCATGTCTCACGATATTTATTATAAAAACAAGATTTCTTTTGTTTATGGGATAGTGCGGTAAACTTTTTCTACGAGCCATTATGCTCATACAGCAGTTTTATATTGAATGCAAACGTATATAATGCATCGAACTAATAACTTTAATTAATCGTACACAAGTCGTAACAAGGTCGCTATCACGTGCTAATGTGTAGCAACATAGAATACGTAATAATACGTAAAGTGCTACTCAGATAACTAAACGTAGCCTTTAATTGGTAGTCGGAAAATAAACAAGTAAATCTAAAGAAACTTCCGAGTCTGAATTATTGCCTACAACCTACAACTATAATCGGAGTTGTCGTCAGCGACGAGAAAACTCCAACACTTGATGGTAAGCAATGAGAGAGGATTATATTTTTGCTCACCAGAGCGCGCTAGTGTGTACCTCTGGTTCTTGGTCCAATAGGGAATTAGCTAACGTCACAGCATTGGACGTTCAGTATTTGACCGCTGCTGTCATTGGATAAAACAACCTCATCCTACATTTGTGTTATCTAGTTAGCAAAAAGTTGGTAGCATCCATTGGCATCACCCCAATGAGTGTTTCCATCACTTGAATAATTACAAGTGCGTTCTGACTTATTGTGGGTTAGGAATTTGAGAAACTTCGGGGATTCAGAAATTGAGGAGATTGGGAGGTAGGGAGACAGTTGGGCCTTCGGTAACGTCACACACACGACGAAACACAACGCAAACGTTGTTTTACGTCGGTTTTCTATCACACCGGTCGAGCCGGCCCATTCGTGCCGAAGCATGGCTCTCTTATGTTTAATTCAGGTTGCCAAGATCTGAGTTCAATTCTTGGTTGAATCTTATGATTTTACATAAAAAAATGTACCATAAGTTACTATTGCGACCTTTAAAAGTACGATTAAATGTAGTTTAACCAATTTTTTTTTAATACTTTGAATTAATACTATTGTATTTATTAACATTTTCTTAGTTACTAGCGACCTGCCTCGGCTTCGCACGGGTGCAATATGCATGTATTATACATATAACGCTTCCTCTTGAATCATTCTATCTATTAAAAAAACCGCATCAAAATCCGTTGCGTAGTTTCAAAGATTGAAGCCTACAAAGGGACATAGGAGGGACAGAGAAAGCGACTTTGTTCTATATTATATTTTAAATACTGTTTTAATATTCATTTTTTCATATGTTTTTAGGTATCATATACAATTAGTAAAATTGCTGACATGCTGCACGATGGGCAAAAATGTATATACAGAAATAAAATGTCACTCTCTCCTGCCACTGGACGATATAGTATCCATGATCACGCATCCTGACTGTATACCCGAGGTAAGCTGTAGTTATAACTGTTCCGTCCTCATGAGGATGTCATTGTCATTCATGATAAAACCCTTGCGACTGCCTCGTTAGCCGAGTCGCAAGTGCGACTGCCGGGCAAGGGGTCTCGGGTTCGATTCCCGGGTCGAGAAAAGTATTACTGGGTTTTTCACAAACATCTCAGTAGTAGCACGGAGTCCCCTTGCCCGGCAGTCGCATTTGCGACCACACGGCCAACGAGGCAGTCATAAAAAGAAGAGTACCTACAATTCGATCTACTTACTACAAATATATATTACACTTGCAATTTAGTATAAATACCTAAAAAATAAATTCGATTCCAGGTAAAAGAAGCATACGTAGGGTTCCTGAACCATTGCTACATAGACACGGAGGTCGAGATGAAGGAGATCTACTCTAGCAACTACATGTGGGACCTCTTCGAGCGATCCTTCCTACACGACATGCAGGCCATCCTACAGGCCGACACTACTCATCCGACCACGCGTACGTACCATGTCAACTTGTGGGACCTCTAGTAGGATACAGAATATTTTTGTTTCGAATAGGCTGATTAGCCTGGATCAGTCCAATCGAAGAGCTGAGTCTAGAAATTTGTAAGATGATCATATATAGCTAAGGCCAATAGTCACTGGCACTAATGAACCCTGAACTTCATCATCTTTAAAAAAAAACAGTTTTAATCACGCTGTTTCAGTCAAAAATTAATCTGACTGCCTCTTTGGCCGAGTGGTTGCAAATGCGATTGCTAAGGGTCTCGGGTTTCATTCCCGGGTCGGACAAAGTATTACTGTATTTTCCAGTAGTAGCACGGAGTCTTGACATGTGCCCGGTATATAGCAACAGGCTCACCCCTTTTACATGGGACTCATGTCATAAATAGTGAAAAGTGGGTGTTACATTGTACAGAAGCAATGTGCCGCAATGTGCACCTCTGCCTATTCTTTCGGGGATAAAAGGCGTGATATTATGTTATGTTAGCCGTGGTCTCGCTTTCTATAATCATTCCGCGCATCCAATGGTCAGTTTATACTGGGTATGTGCACCTTGATGTGTAGCCAACATGGTACATTCAAAGTGAAAACAAACTATTTCAAAATGTTTTTTTTTAAATAAACCGTTGCCCCACACTATGATTTTCTCCTGTGTCGTGGGTGCGTTTACAAACATACAAGTTCACATACACAATGACACCCAGACCCGGAACAACAATTTGTGGATCACACAGAGAGTTGGTGAGGTGGCTGGGCAACCGGCTGCCGTGCAACGTGTCGCGGGTTCGATTCCCGCACGGGACAACACTTTGTGTGATCCACACCACCGTACCTAACCAACAAATTGTTAACTAAAAATCGCGGGGTATACACGTGAATATACTGAGAAAAGCTCAACTAGTTTCGAACCACAGAGGGGTTCTTCCTCATGATCAGGGTGCGCGGTCGCGGCGACGTCGCGCATCCTACAACCAACCAGCCAACTACTACTCTACTCTACGCGTAGCCAACTACTCTAACTCTACTAGTTTGGAACCCCTCTGTGGTTCGAAACTAGTAGAGCTTTTCTCAGTGTATTCACGTGAGTAACCCGCGATTTTTAGTTTATTTAGTATGTCTCACGATGGTTATTATAAAAAAGCAACAAATTGTTGTTCCGGGTCTGGGTGTCATTGAGTATATGAAATCGTATGTTTGTAAACGCACCCACGACACAGGAATCTTAGAGTGAGGCAACATTCTTCTTTAAAAACATCGTTCCAGCAGCAGGTCCGTCGTCCGAGGCCCCGAGTACGTCCCGGCGGCCGCCTCAGGTGGGCAGCCAGAAGGCCTGGGTCAATTACGTCACCGATGTGCTCATGCACACTATATGCACCTTCTTCAATTCTCCCTTTAGTGACCAAAGCACTACAGTGCAGGTGAGGCTTACAATATATTCTGGACTATTAAAGCTTGACGTGACAATTCGATTCTCGCGTGGAAAAATCTGTATATGATCCGTAAATTACAGTTAAGGTTAAATTATATTTACATGTTTTCAGTGGCGTGCACAGGTTTTCTAGACAGGGTAGGCAATTAAATATCGTATGATTAAACCCCTCCCCCCCGGTCATACAATGACAATCATACTCACACAAGACAGGTACCTACATGTACAGAATACATTTTGAAAAGTGCGTTCAAGAATATTGTGGTTTATTCTGTCGCCAAATTACATACACTGACATCTCGCGTATTTTTTGTGAACTACTTCATCAGCTATGGAATAAGCCAACAAAACTTACAAATAATTGAACATCTATTAATTATACTAATAATGAAGCATAAATTTGATGAACCAAATTCAATTATCGAATTGCTAGATAATCTATTCAAAATCATAATAATATTATATTATATTATATTACGAATTTAAGAACGTAGGTACCTACCAACAAACAAAACAATAACAAGCGCGGCCGGCTGTGGCCGAGCCGAGTATTTATAAGCGGTACATTTGTTATTACATTACATAATTATTAATAATAAATTAATATGTAAATCAGTACAACCCGAAGTCTAAGTTGATATTTTTAAGAATTATCAAACAAGAAAATCAATAAAAGATCCATTAAAGTACATAATATTTACATTACCTACCTTTGACTTGGGTCAATTCTCGTAACTTGAGTACTGCCTATGGTCATTACCTGAATCTAGTCGTTGTAGGACACATTTTTGCGAAAACTTACTGTTTTTAACTTTCAACAAACACAAAAAATTATCTATTATCAACACAAACTTCACAATCGAATAATATAGGTACTTGTACTAGACACTGATAAACAAATACACTATTTGAAAAACCTACACATACATTTAACTACTTCTACACATATTTATGCAACTTTATGTTTAAAACTAATTCCTTATATTTAAACGAAAACATAAACAAAGCGATCGCACATCACATGAAAACAATATGGCCGAAAACATTGGAATGAATGAACCCATCGTAGTCAATTGAGTGTTTATTATAAAAAAATTATAGCTATAACATTAAGGCAACCCAGTGTTTAATTATAAAAAAACAAAACGTTAATTTACATAAGTCAAATGGAGTTCCGTCATTGTCTTATTATTATTTTCCAATAAGAAACATTCGTTGATAACAATTTGAAACTTTGAGTTATCAAAACGTCAAGTTGCCGCTACTCAAAAGTTATTCCTTTTAACTTTTAAAATAATAAAGTCAACTCCTCGTTTAAAGTTTCTATAAACCGACAACGCGTAAAAATGTTAAGATTTAATTAAAATACCTGAAACATATTTTTTTAGTATGCATAATTATAAAAAGACATTCGCATTATATCGAACGTGTTCAGAAGTTTTAACAAAAAATTCAATAGATGGCGCAGATTCATAAATTTCAAAGGCCGGCAGCAATGACTTTTTTGCGTTTATGAATGGTTATTCTCTGCTGTGACCATAGTCACGTGACCTTCACGCATGCGCGTTGCATACTTTTTGTGACGTCACAACCAACAACCAAGATTTAAGGAATAGTAGCGCATGCGTGGTGCGTGCGGGGCGCATTCATTGCTTTACAAAGGCGTGCGGTCCGTGTATAGTATATGTGAATGTATATTTATGTTAGCCGTTTTTTTTACAAACTTTTATTTTATTATTGAATCTTAATAAACGCGTTTGTACATTTTATGTCAAGCAAAGCCTTTTTGCCTATATGGACTGCACGCCACTGCATGTTTTTAAACCCACGACACAGAAGTACTGCTTGGTATAGCGGCAACCGGCTATCATGGGTCTTGAGATACAGCGTAATAGGGTTTTCGTTCACTAAAAAGGACGCGTCCAATGTTTGTAATTAAACTACTAGATGGTTTTGTTATTATGGGATAAGCCGGTGAACGAGCAGACGGATCACCTACAGGCTTACTCTTGAATCCAATCGATCGATCGACATTGGTATTGTGAAATTTCGTATAGTATAGTTGTAACTATAGCGCCCATTGCATTCGTATTGCGTGAATATTAAACGAACTAAATGGTATTGAGTTTGGCTTTGTATTCTGTACTCTGAATGCTATTGTAACTGGTACGATAGGGTTTGTATAGTTTTGACATTGAATAATTATTGAGATTTTATTGGATTGAAATTGGATTGACGTTAAGATTGATTTTAAGAGTAAGCACCCTGATGTTAAGCAACGGGCGTCTGCTATGGACACCTTAAACAACAGAATATGACGGTACGACCATCTCAAAGTGTTGCCAGAGTAAAAATACAAGCGTTGTTTCACGTCGGTTTTCTGCTCGGCCGTGGTATCACTCCGGTCGATCCGGTCCACCGTGCCGAAACATGTATCTCCCACACTTAAAAAGCTTGTCCGCCATATATGATTTACGAGAATACGTCGTTCGTAATGTATAAACGTGTTCATGAAATTAATCCATTAAAAATTAACCACGGGTCTGTTTTTTCGCTGCTTGGAATAATTACAAACTTCGAGTAAGTATCTTTTTTTTATGGCTTAAGCCGGTAAACGAGCAGACGGATCACCTGATGGTAAGCAATCAGCGTCGCCCATGGACACCTGGAACACCAGAGGCGTAACAAGTACGTTGCCGGCCTTTGAGGATTAGGAGTTTGAAGATTGTTGGGGATTTAAGGATTGAGGAGATTGTGGGTTATGGCATAAGCTATTATATATTTAACAAAGTAGTACTGGGTTTTAAAAAAAATTTCAGTAGTAACACGGAGTTTAGAATTGTACCCGGTATATGGCAATAGGCTCACCACTTATTACATGGGACTCATAACATAAATAGTAAAAAGTGGGTGTTACATTGTACAGTGGCATAATATGCACCTCTGCCTACCCCTTCGGGGATATAAGGCGTGATGTTATGATGATGATGACATAAGCTAGTGATAAATGTTTAGTTTTCTTTTTCTCTCTCGTAGACTCGACAGTCGATCTTCGTGAAGCTGCTGCAGACCACGTTCAGTATATATCAGTGTCCCTGGCTGACTCCGCCACAGAAGCTCAACGTCGAGAAATGTATACGCACACTCAGCGAAGTTGGTCAGTATAATATTCTATCGCCCGAATACTGAAAGCCTAGTCAATTTTAAATTGTATTTAAATATCGTGCCATCTCTGTCATTTTACAATGAATTTGGAGCGACAGAACTATACTAAAGCGTAACTTAAAATTGAGTAACGTTTAAGTATTTCGACTTAAGAAACAAGTAATGCATTTTTTATGTTACACGAATATAACGAGTTTTATTTCACCAACAGTACAGGTACAGGTCGGCGTGGTAGCTAGGCAACTGATTACCGCGCAACGCACACCACTTTTTTAGAAGTCGGTTAAAAAGAATTTAAAGGTTTCGTTTGATGTGTGCTACTTTTTTATGGCATAAGCCGGTGAACGAGCAGGCGGATCGCCTGATGGTAAGTAATCGGCGTCGCCCATGGACACCTGGAACACCAGAGGCGTTACAAGTGCGTTACTGGCTATTTGGGAATTTGAAGATTGTTGAGGATTCAGGGAGTGGGGGTTTTTTTTAAGGGGGGAAAATCATCGAATGGCTTCTGCCTCAAAAGAGCCATCAGACCACCACGGATGGGGCCCAATAGGGCTGATGCCGATACGGAGAACTTAACGGGTTGTCGGGGCTCTGGCTCGAAGTGCAGGAGTAGGAACGGGGTGGTTTTTAGTCAGTAAGAGTCTGACACTCCCTCCCGCCTCACTCAGGCGGCAGAAGCCATTCGATGATTTTCCCCCCTTAAAAAAATGCTAGAGGCTAATATTCATGAGCAGCATTCCGCGAGCCGAAAACATAACAATTAATTTAGTATGTCTCACGAAATTTTTAACATAACTTTGATCTTGCAGCAAAATCTCGAAGCATAGCCATCCCCTTGGAGCTAGAAGCTAAAATCCAGACGGTGTTTGAGAAGGCGGCCGCCCTTTCGCGCCAGACCAGCAAGTGGCTCTTGGCCTCAAAGACATCGAAGCTTGAGAAGATGGCATCGCAAGTACGTGTTTATCCATTTTCCAGTACTTTTACTTTTTATGGAATAGGAAGGAAACGAGCAGACGGTTCACCTGATGATAAGCGATTAGCGCCGCCCATGGACACCCGCAACACCAGAGGAGTCACAGGTGCGTAGTACTGAGTGCCAAGGACGAATAACTAGCGCATTCGCAATGTGATAGTATCGAGACACGTTCTCCGCTCTGATTGGTCGGCTCCAGTGAATCAATCAGAGCGCCGTACGTGCGCTGGCTTAAGACAGATTGGCGATTTCAAACTTATAATTATAAATCTAAGTCTCAGTTTCTGTCGCGGAGTACCTAACGGGTTACCGGGGCTCCGGTTCGACGTGCAGGAGTAGGAACAGGGTGGTTTTTAGTCAGTAAGTCTGACACTCCCCCCGCCTCACGTAGGCGGTAGCAGTAATTCAATGATTTTCCCCCCTTAAAAAAAAGTCTAAGTTTCCTCACTATGTTTTCTGTCATTCCACTGTATGTCAGTGGTGTCTAAATAATATTAGTATGTCCATATAACTCTGAAAGAGTCTGATGCTGGCTAGGTTTCGGACCTACGCCCTCATGCATAAGAAGAAGGCACCTTAACCTCTGGTCTAGCCCGACGCTTGTTATTTGTTTGTATGTCGTGCACCAGGCGAACCTCCAGAACGACCGGTCGGTGATGGAGGGGCTGCAGGAGATAGTGGCGCTGCTGGAGGAACAGCTGCGGCCGCTGCTGCAGGCCGAGCAGTCGCTGCTGGTGGACATCCTCTACAAGCCTCACCTGCTGTTCACCGGCCACGGGGAGGCCGCTCACGCAGACACTAGCGGGATCTTCATCTCTAGGTCATTAATAAAACATTTCACAGTTTATCTTTACTGCTTACAACACGGTCTTAGCGAGTTTATGGCTTGTTTCTAGACCATCAGACGACATAATGTTTATTTAAACTGTTATATGTAATTTCTGCCTTATTTATTATAATATGTTAATGATTGCCTCGTTGGCCGAGTGGTTGCAAGTGCGACTGGCCGGGCAAGGGGTCTCGGGTTCGATTCCCGGGTCGGGCAAAGTATTACTGGGTTTTTAAAAACCTCAGTAGTAGCACGGAGTGGAAATGTGCCCGGTATGTCAATAGACTCGCCCCCTATTACATGGGACTCGTAACATAAATAGTGAAAAGTGGGTGTTACATTGTACAGTGGCATTAAGTGCCGTACACCTCTGCCTACAACTTCGGGGATAAAAAGGCGTGATGTTATGTTATGTTATATAATCTATAACCAGCTTTCAATTAAATTGCGGTTTATTTGACTACGTATATGTTAATTTGTATTAGGGCTTGTGCCTAATCACACTAATATTATAAATATGAAAGCTTCTTTACTTGTATGTTTGTCCGTCAATCACGCTAAAACTACTGAACGAATTTTGTTAAAGTTTGATATACAGGCAGGGTATGGACTGATTTAGGTGATAGGACCTTCTATCCCGATTAAATGCTCCCAAGTGTTAAAAAAAAAACATATTCTACGCGGACGAATTCATACCTTATCTTTCGAATCATTGTAACTATTGACAGACTACAGAAAGAGCTTGCACGGTTCTCACACATAAGCTTCTATACACATTTGTCTGGACTTTTAAAAGAGACAGACCTCAGAGTTTGTTTCGGCATTTCTTCTCAGAGTAGTCAGTTAGGAAATGTCGACCTCATCGTTCGCTTGATGAAATTGACGTGTAAAAGTGCTGCCTTGTAGCCTATTTGCAGAAATACATTCACTTGTTATTGAAAAACCGTAAGTAAACATACTTGTTTGTAAAATTGTGCTCAGATTAATCCGGCATACGGAGAAACTTCTAGAAGAAAAGGAAGAGAAGTTATGTGTCAAGGTGCTGCGTACCTTACGAGAGATGATGGCTGTCGATCCCGAGTACGGAGAGAAGGTAAACATAATAATTTATTTAGTATGTCTCACGAAAGTTTCGTAATGAAATGAATTTGCAACTTATAACTAATCAATACATAGTATAAAACAAAGTCGCTTTCGCTGTATGTCCGTATGTATGCTTAGATCTTTAAAACTACGCAACGGATTTTGATGCGGTTTTTTTAATAGATAGAATGATTCTTAAGGAAGGTTTGTATGTATAATACATGCATATTGCACCCGTGCGAAGCCGGGGCGGGTCGCTAGTTAAATATATTAAAAAAAATATCATCATAATAATACAATATTATGTGATATAATGTCATCAAGATTAAGAGTGTGTAACTAAAATCAGATTGATCTGTACTTCTGTAGTCGTAGTTTTTTTATGGCATAAGCCGATAAACGAGCAGACGGTGATCCATCTGATGGTAAGCAATCGGCGTCATCCATGGACACCTGGAACACAAGAGGCGTTACAAATGCGTTACCGGCCTTTTGGGGATAAGGAGTTTGAGGATCGTTGGGAATTTACGAATTGGTGAGATTGGGGAAGGGGAGGGTAATTGGGCCTCCGGTAACCTCATTCACACGACGAAACACAACGCAAGCGTTGCTTCACGTCGGTTTTCTGTGAGGTCGTGGTATCACTCCGGTCGAGCCGGCCCATTCGTGCCGAAGCATGACTCACCCACACTTAAAATTCAACAAACAGACTAAATAAAAACGTTTAATAAGAATGATTGCTAACCTAAGACGCGTATTTGCGTTCCCCAGGGCAACCAGCTCCGCTCGAAGCTGCTGTCCCAGTACTTCGTGAATCGTAAATCTGAACCCAAGATCATGCCCCCTCCGAGTTCTGTAACCGTCACCCACGGACCTGGTGGTAAGTCACATGTTAACCCGAGGGCCTAGTACGAGTTTGTATTACGTTTGACAAGATCAAAACGATACTGCGTTCAGCCCTATGATTGGCTGGTTTATTGGAGCAGGCCAATCAAAGCGCTGAACGCGTCTTGCTCACGTTAAACGTAAAGGAAACTCGTATTAGGCCCTCTGTTATGATTTTAGTCGTGCTGGACTGATATTAGAAGCTTTAGTAAGTTAGGGATTTGATTCATAGATCGTAACCTAATTGAGATCGTATAATTTGAGTATTCAACAATATACTCAATCTTTTGTTCCCTTTGCGCAAATGACAGAATTTATAATAGCATATAAAATATTACTTATTTACTGATTTTTAATACATGGTTATAGTTACAGCAGCAGACCATTTAGAACTTCGATTTTTTTTGTATTAAATATACCTCTATAATCTTAAACATTACTCAAAGAAGGTATATAGTAATGTCAAATTGAATTACACAAATAGTGCTAACAAATAAAAAACTAATGAATTAGTTAACTACAACCTTCTTAAGTTATAGATATTTATCAATAAATAAAACTACAAGGCCCGAGTGAATAGGTTGATTATGGGCAGATGTGCTCTATCGTAGGCCGCATCATTGCTTAACATTAGACTCATAAAAATATTAAAGAAAAAAATACCTAACGAACTCGATTATTTTAACAAGAATAGTCAAACTAGCTTGCACAGTTAGTATTAGTTGATAGCACTGTTAATTACTAACTAGTTCAATATGAAACTTGTAAACTGTTTTTTTTTTCAAAGGGAAATGTTTGATATAAAGTCTTAGCACTAGCGGTTGACCGTCTAGGCGCTTCGTATCGACAGACGCGGTTGCATATTAAATTGGACAAGCGGTCGAACGCAGGGTGCGGCTAACTGCGCGGTTGACCGCAAGTGCGGAATCCTAATAGACTAGTTTCCAACTGCTCAAATTCAATACTCAAAGTCAAAGTCAAAGTCAAAGTCAAAGCATTTATTTCAATTAAACCATAGTTTGGTACTTTTGAAACGTCAACAAATACAAAATAAATAATAGTCTGTCAGTCAGTCCGTCAGTGAAGCTAGGTGAAGCTAGGTGCTCATTCCAAAACGTAGATTCGAATGGAGAAGAACGAGCAAGAAACTCCATTCGTTACTCTTTTAAAAAAGTATGTTCTACAATGTCTCTGATACATATTTCAATACTGTACGCATATGTAAGAACAATGCAAAGACACGCTTGACGCATTATACTACTAACTTACTAAAATAAAAATAAAAATAATAAATATCTTAAGTCCAACATGGTGCTCACATATGCATACTGACAATCCATAGAAATAGTGCTTCTATACAAGAAAAAGGAAACTCTTTGTTTCAATAAAGAAAGAAATGCTCGATGCCATAAGGAAACTAGATTGTCTACATTAGAATTAAAGTATTAAATTATGTATTATATTACCTACTATTGGAATTTAACTACTGACTACATTTGAGTATTGTCCAGTGGAGCCGAACCAACATGCTGCCAAGCATTCTTATCTTCAAGATAATCTGTCAGTGTGTAGTAAGCTTGATTACATAATTCGCGCTTAATATATGTTTTAAATTTACTTTCATTGAGATCTAGTATGCTATTTGGTATTTTATTATAGCATTTAATACCTAACCCCATAAAGGATTTCTGTACTTTGGACAGTCTGAATTGCGGTATAGCTAACTTATTTTTGCCTCTAGTATTAAAATTGTGTCTATCGCTTCTTTTTTCAAACAATTGCCTATTTTTCCTTACATACATTATATTTTCATATATATATTGACAGGGCACCGTTAAAATATTTATCGTTTTAAACAATTCTCTCAACGATTCGCAACGGCGTAAGTTATATATTGCTCGGATAGCCCGCTTTTGCAGAATAAATATTGATTCTATTTCTGCAGCTCGACCCCACAACAAAATGCCGTACGACATAATGCTGTGGAAATAACTAAAATAGACAAGCCTAGCTGTATCCACGTCCGTGAGCTGTCTAATCTGTCTAACTGCAAAAGCAGCTGAGCTCAATCTCCCCGAAAGCGCCTTTATATGCGGACCCCATTGTAGCCTATTGTCTAACGTAATGCCTAAAAATACTGTCTCGTCGACAAATTCTAACTTTTGACCGTTCAAAACAATATCACAATCGTTACTACGCACGTTTGGTAAACTGAATTTAATACATTTTGTTTTTTTTTCATTAAGTGCTAGATTATTAATGGTAAACCAATTATGCACTTGAAGAATGGAGCTGTTTACGTCGTCAAGATTATTTGTACGTCGATCTACTTTAAAAATTAATGATGTATCATCTGCAAAAAGCACCATTCTTGGTTCATTTTTAAATATAAATGGCAAATCATTTATATAGACTAAAAAGAGAAAGGGACCCAATATTGAACCTTGAGGAACGCCCATATTCATCCCAGAGCCCTGTGAGTTAATACCGTTAACATGAACCTTTAACTGTCTTTCTTCTAAATAAGATTTCATAAGACGGAGCGCAGAGTTTCTTATCCCGTAATGATCTAATTTCAGCAAAAGTGTTTCGTGGTCAACGCAATCAAATGCTTTTGAGAGGTCACAAAATACACCAATAGCATCCTGTGCTTCCTCCCAAGCACCAAATATTTCCTTAATCAAAGTGACACCGGCGTCAGTTGTGCAACGACCTTTAGTGAAACCGTATTGTTGTTGGTGAAAGATGGAATGTTTATTAAAATGATGAAGCATCCGAGACAGCATCAACTTTTCAAAGACTTTGCTGAGAACCGGTAAAACAGACACTGGCCTATAGTTGTTAGGTTCTTTAGTGTCACCACTTTTAAATAGTGGGATAACCTTACTATATTTCATTAGGTCAGGGAAAACACCGTCATCTATACATTTATTGAAAATCACAGCCAGATATGGCGCTACAGTTTGGATAAGTGACTTGCAAACCATTACCGATAAGCCCCAAAGATCCTCCGTTGATTTAGTCTTGATTTCTTTAAAAACTTTTATAATTTCTAGAGGATTCGTATATCGAAAACTAAAGTCGTATTGACATGATTCTATGTTGTTCTTAAGCAAAGTTACAGAGAGGTTTGCTGATGACTTTAAATGTTCAGTTGTTTTAATAGGAATACTAGTAAAAAAATTTTCAAACTCCTGGGCTACATCTACGTTTGATGTAATCTGTCCCCTTTCGGTATTTAAATTAAATTCTGAGTTTCTTAATCTTTTCCTACCGGTCTCGTTGTGTATAACTTTCCAAGTAGTTTTTATCTTATCATCAGACGATTTTATTTTATTACTAATATAAAGACGTTTCGCGACTCTGCATACTATTCTAAAGGTTTTTGAATAAGATGTTACATACTGGTGAAATTGGGGGTCATTTTTGTACGGTTTCATTCCATAAAGTTCAAAAAGTCTGTCCCTACTCTTACGAATACCTACAGTTGCCCAGTCGCTAAATACAAATTTGGTATGAATATCTTTATTTTTTATTGGCAAAATATTGTTAAATTCCTTGTTTAACATCTCAAAGAAATCATTGTAGAATTTATTCAGATTACTAGTATCAAATACTTTCATACATAATTTAGTAGCTAAAGAATTGCTCAATTTCTCCAGATTTTTAAACGTGATTTGTCTATATCTTATTTGAATTTTTAGGATAGGTAAATAAGAGCTATACGCAACCATTAGTCCACAGTGGTCGGATGGCAAGCTATTTATAATATGTTTTTCTTTGTAGTCACAATTACAGAAAACATTATCAATACAGGTGGCGGTAGAGGATGTTATCCTTGTTGGTTCTAAAAAAACATTTTTTAAATTAAATGATCCAAATAAATTTAACAATTCCATACTACTAGTACTATTTTCTAATAAATTAATATTAAAATCACCACATATAATTACTGATTTGTGACTAGAACAAACCTTTCTTAAAACATCCTCCATGACAGAATCAAATACTGTAAGATTCTGATAGTTAGGTGGCCTATACACACAGACAATAACATGTCTATCCAGCTCAACACAGGACAACTCAATGGTGTGTTCAACTGACAGTGCTACAATGTCTTTCCTTCCTTTTGATTTAATACTATTTTTTACTAATATTAAGGACCCACCATGTAACATATGCTTTCTACTGAAATTACTAACTACATTATAATTATCTAAATTTAAAGATATTAGTTGGTCCTCCTTAAGCCAATGTTCTGATAGACAAATTACATCAAATTTAGTCTTTTCCAGAAACATCTCTAATTCAAAGACTTTTGAGGAGCAGCCCTGAATGTTAATATAAAATAATTGTAGATTGTGCTGCCCCTGAGTATAATTGTACTGTGCTTTTTCCTTGCCAGAATATACCTTATTATTTATATGATTTATGAAGGTATGTTCTGTTGTCTTAAAATCTAGTTTAAACTTAAATTAAAATGTGCCTCTGTGCTGTTAGACACTCTAGACAACACAGATTCGTCCTTAAAACTATTTTCTGTTATACAAGTTATAACAGTGTTAATATTATATGCTATCAGCATAGCAATTTTATGTCGACATTTATTTGAAAGGTGTACACCTTTCTTTGTAAAAACAAAAGTACTAATAAATTTATTAGTGTCAAAAAATAAAAGTCTGTCATTGTGACATGTCATTTGGTGTAGTGTATTATTTAGTACACCTATGTATTTGTTCTTAGAACATGATAAACTATTAGAATATGGGAAGGCACACAATATTATCTTCCCTGTGTTCAAGTTCAACAAGGTGTCCACACCGTTCACAATGTCCCCTCTTGTTATTCCTAAGCTGTTACCTAACATTAAAACTAAAACTGACTTTTCATTTAAATCTGCATGAGTTATTTGTTTAATAATATTTTTATAACTCATGTTGTGGTAACTGTTGTTTATAAAACTTTGTTTAAGATGACCATACAGCATTTGGCCAAATCCAGAACCTAACTCATCACTGTAGATATGTGTTTTATAATTTTGTGTATCTTTTAGTTGGGTATTTACTGCAACTTGAGTAGGTAGCAAAAGTGAAGCCCCCGGGGTCTGAGGTTGATTCACACAACTGCATTCTAGGTTATTTGTTAAGGATTCATACCTTTCTGCGTTGTTCTTCACCAAATCCATCAGCTCAGAGGCCACAAGCAGTTGCTCACTCAACTTTTGTTGGGAATATTTGTATTTCTCAAATATCTCCCTCATCAAATATCTCAAATATCTACTTTTATCGAAATGTCATATTTTCTTTGAATTTTATAAGAGATGGCAAATTAACGACGTCATATAATTTTCGCGTCAATTAGCAGACTACTTACAGAATAAATCGAAAATTTGTAAGTAAACCGTCGAACCAATTAATAAAAGTGTATTTTTTATTGTATTCATCAACAGCCTATAAATGCCCACTGCTGAGCAAAGCCTCTTCTCACACGGAGAAGGTTTGAGCATTAATCACCACTCTTGCTCAATGCGGGTTGGCGATTACAAACTTATAATTAGAAATTATAAGCCCAAGTTTCGTCACGATGTTTTCCTTCATCGTTTATCTTATTGTTTTATGGTATTGCACCGTTGAAATAATTTATTTTTGACTGAGCAAACTATCTAATAATTATTATTATTATTTCGGCATGATTTCAAATTATATTTCACATTTTATTCTCTCCGGAGATTGAAAGTCCGTACAATACCGGCAAGTGATCTCATAAAATATTCAAGTAAAAATAAATACTGTATTCTGACATTCGCAGCTACAACTCGACACCAAAAATAAAGTAAGATATGCCATCGTCCATTAATAGTTAACACATTGTCTGAATCTAAAATACATATTTTTTAAATATTCAAAGTCACGGCACATCAGGCTTTTGTACGATACATTTGACAACATAGAAACAATTTCGCGTTCGGCACTGATTGGCCGGCTCCTATGAACCAACCAATCAGGGGGCTAAGCACGGTAAAGCACTCTGTACCTCTTGTCTACAAGTTTGCAACCACTTTCCCTTTGAAAAAAATTGATACTTTCTCATATTAAAACACTAAACTTGTTCACTGTATTGGTGATAGGATTTAGTTCATACGGATAGCAGCATATCAATTGTATTAACGACTTTATTACATTTGTAATAAGGTTGCTACTGCAATGTTTTTAATACTGTGATTGATGCTCTGCTAACCGAAATTTTAGTTATATGAACAGATGCCTTTGCTATCGAAGTGGGTATTTGAGTGTAAATTACTATTAACAAAGCTGATAGAATACTAAGACCTCCTAAGTGTAAGTAACCCTTTTGTGAAAACTGCATTGACATGGGTTCAGCCAGTCGCTAGATAATCGCAGACATACATTCGAATAGATTAATGTATTAAAAATAGCGTTTTCAGTCTACAATTCTGATTTGAGATTGGTCTTTAATTTTATTGATAACTAGTTCCTGGTCTTTAATTTTATTGATAACTAGTTCCTAACGCGGTTTCACCCGCTGTTCGGCTCCTGAGGCCTTAATGCGAGTTTGTGTTTATGTTTAAAGTAATCGTAACGAGTACCTACGCGTTCGGCGCTCTGATTGGTTGGTTCATTGGCGCCGGCCAATCAGTGCCGAACGCGTACTCGTTACGAATACTCTAAACGTAAATGAAACTCGTACTAAGGCCTCTGTTCTAGTACTTCTAGTAGAGTAAAAGTTTTGTATTCAAAACTGAAGATTGTATGTTCAGTTGAACGCGTTAGTCTCCGTAACAACCGGTTGGAATTGAATGTATATTTCTTAGGTTACATATTTTGACATGCCAGAACGTACTTTATTTACATTAATAAGAAACTATTTACAACTTAAAATATACAAAAATGTAATAAAAGGAAACTAAAAATAACAATTTACACAGATCATCAAAAATAAGTAACTAAACTAAACTAGGTAACTAGTTATCAAAGGTATCTTTCTTTTGTAACAAAATTATTGCTTCCGTTGAATTCTGAGAAAGGAAAATAATAATTTGAAAAATTTGTCGAACCTTCATAGCAAAGGCATCTTGATATCGTTAACATTTAATAGATTTAGATGTAGCAATCTGTATTGTTTATTTCTCACCGCATGCCATGCAGAAAGTCATCCGCTGAAGATGAAGACAGGTGGGTTTTGCCACTTGGCGGTACTTTTAGTACCATTTTATACACCGTTGTTATGTGTGCACACTGCACAGCGTCTCGCATACATTGCTTGGCATATTTGAGACGATTAAAATATTTTTAAGCCTCTTATTTCGAAATACTCAAAGGTTACTCAATTTGAAGTTACGCTTTAGTATAGTTCTGTCGCTCCAAATTCATTGTAAAATGACAGAGATGGCACGATATTTAAGTACAATTTAAAATTGAGTAGGCTTTCAGTATTCGGGCCTTTGTGCTACCTTACGACCAGTAGTTTGGGCAGTGCGTTGTCTGTCAGTCAGTCAGTGACTCAGTATCGGAAGCGTTTTATATATAGGTCGGACAAATTGTCCAGCGCGACTACAGCACACGGTACGTGCTCTAACAAATCCGCCCCTTAGACTTTTTGAATTGACGTTATTAAACTTATGATACAATATTAAATGTTTAATGAATATTAATGATAAATATGCCAAGCAATACTTGATATAAATATCTATGTACGGTCAAAACTCAAAAGTCCACTGCCACCGTAAGACTACTATAGGTTGCGCTGCAGCGCTTATACACACATACACACGCATATTTGTATCCGTGTGCGTACGCGTGCGTGTGTTTATGCGTACGCACGCGTTTTTATGCACATTAACTCGTCGAGTACCGTCATTATAGACACAATTATAGAACGGTTTAACAATTATAGACACAATTATGGTTGCGGCCACCGGTGTCCGCTTGGTGTTTGACAGTTTAATATGAAATTACTTACGCATTGCTGTGTGAACATCACTCACGGTGGCAGTGGACTTTTGACCTTTGACTGTACAACTGCTGGACGTATAGTACACGTATGTGTAAGCTTTATTATTGAAATTGAATAATTTAAGTAGAATTATATTAAATTATTCGAATTTCTATAACTATTGTAAATACTTATAATGTTGTATACAAGATGATGTTTTACAAAACGAAATTTTCGTATTTTTAGTGTTGAATACAACAATTTTTATTTCTGAAATCTTTGTGTGTAAAAACATCATTCGGTGTCCATTAAGCTGATCACCCCTTGCGCACGTCCACCTAATTAATTGCTTGTATACTGTACCCATATTTTTAATACTGAATAAGTACATATTTATAAAATTAGCACTTATTTTGACGACCATTCTTCAGTTCTCCAGAAAAACTTCATTTGTGACTTAAACTACCTAGTTAATGCTTAATTTTGTCCAAAACCTAAGTTTTATCCATAACTTAAGTTTTGGCTAATCTCTTAAGATCTGAGGACTGACTAGTCAAATTTGGGAGTTCCAGCAGCTTTAAGAATATATGTATATCATTTTATACGCGCTGTATCACATATGAATGTTGATTTTTTCATATCTCTATTACGACATATAAAATCAACTCACTAGGATTTTCTTCAAAACGTGTGTTACCTAGTTGAGTTTTTATCCAATGACAAAAACATTATTTTAATTATTAAATTAATATATGCGTCCCCGGTACGAAACATGGCCAGATTTTTGTATAAATTTAACCATGGTTCGTGCCGGGTATAGATTTTAATTATTTATGCCCCTATTCCCTGAATGTATCCGCCTTTAAATTGTGTCTGTATATTAATTTCGTATACCCAAGCTTTTTTAACAATTCGCTAGCAAATCTTTTCTAAAATGTAATTCCGTACGATTCATTTAATTTTAAACTTGTTACTGGATTTTCAATTCCAACTTATGACTATTACTAACACCCACAGATATATTAAAGAAGATATTACACATGGTAACCAATGCCATGACTTCTACAGTTTTTGTTTTGGCTTATATTTCTGTACGAAACCACAGCACAAGGCGGCATTTTATCGTTTGTTGTACGTTCGCGGGTGAAATTCAGACTAACTCGCGGTGACGACTATATTTTTCTTCATTGAGCGGAACGCTCAATTGCGAGCGTGATAGACACGCCCCCTTGCCACTTCTCCTTTTTTAATATGTCTGTGGTAACACTAGAAGGCTTAGTGCGAGTTTAAAGTAATCGAAATGAGTCCGCATAAGGCGCTCTCATTGATTAGTTCATTGGAGCCGGCCAATCAGGGCGCCATTACAACAAACTCGTACTAAGGCCTCGGGCAAATTCTCCTATGACGGGTTGGTAAAAATGTATTTAAATTTTCGGTACACCCATCTTGCTAAATAAATAATTTAAGGTAATCCAAAACTTACTTCGAACCCCAATGCCCACTAACTACATTATTGCATGTACCGAAAACTTTAGAATTCCTCTAAATATTACGGTTTACCATAATCTCCACAATTAACATACAGGTTGGAGAAAACAGGTTTAAAAATCAGACAGTGCTATTGTCCAGTCTCTGTCAAGTGCCTCTTAATCAGCTCCTACGAAGAGTGGGGGCGCGATGACAAAATATCTACTGACCCGTCACCCGAACGACCAATTGTTAAAGATAGGATTTCAGTACGAGTTTCAAACTAATTAATCGTATGGGACGCTTGGCATCCAGCTATGTTACTCACCTGCTTACGCTTATACAGCGAAAGTGCTACTGAGGACTGGGCAGACCCTGGCCCAAGTACAGGCACACCTGGACAAGGAAGGAGCATCCGATCTCGTGGTAGACCTGGTCATCAAGAGTACCAATCGACAAGCTATCTTCCTAGAGGCTATACAACTTGGTAAGTATTCATTTTTATTTTATTTTAAAAGGCTTCACGCTCAATCTTATGTACAAGGTGGACCTTTGGGTGAAGGAGAGACAAAAACAATGGTCGATGCAAGAAGCAAGCGTATTCAAGATCTATGACTAAGAGAAATACATAAAAAAGAATAGTATAAATTTACATAAATAAATCTTATATTCTTATATTATTATATAAAGCGGAAGTTTGTTTTTTTGTTTGTTTGTTTGAACGCGCTAATCTCCGTAACTACAAGTCTGATTTGAATAATTCTAAAGTAGGCTATTAAAGAACACGCTATAATTAATAGGAGCTGAACAGAGCGGGTGAAACCGCGGAAGTGGCTAGTGACTTAATAAAAATGACTTAATAAAGTTCTTGCGACCAATGAACCGGTGAGAGGCGTCCAAAATATAACATTAAAGTGGCGTTCGTCATAATATTAAATCAACTTTGTTGAAGAACAAATCTCATGATCAAAGCCTTGTGAGTAAGATCATAGTAACAACTGTATTTTCGTACACAGGCATCGCGCTCCTCGAGGGTGGCAACCCTATAATTCAACACAGCATATTCACCAAGCTGCAAAATGGAGAAATTTCGCAAGCATTCTTAAAGGTAAACCCTTGACGCCCTTGTATCACTTTTTTTAAAGGGAGAATATCATCGAATGGCTTCTCTCGCCCGGGTGACGCGAGAGGTGAGTGTCAGACTCTTACTGATTAAACACCACCCTGGTCCTGCTGCTGTACTTCGAGCCGGAGCTCCGGAAACCTTTTACGTTTTCCTTGACACCCTTGTACCATTATTGACATTGACTGATGTTCTCCCCCTCTGTCTACTATGAGGAAAAAGACTGAAACTAACTCAGTGGTCCATTCTCAAAGTGCAACCAAATAAAAAACTTTTCGAGAATACCATGAAGCAGCGGTCTCATAACAAAAAAATATCATACGACGTTATATATCAAATGAAATCACTATTCTTCCTCAATATTATTGTATCAGGTATTCTACGATAAGATGCGTGAAGCCCAGCAAGAGATCAGGTCTCTGGCTGCCAGCAGTACGTCTGCAGCCAGCACTGAGAAGCAGCGCTCCAGCTATTCAGAAATCAAGAAGCCTATCACTGGCGACGGTATGCCCTTGTCTGCTCTATTCTTTAATAAATATAGTTTTTTTTAAACAGTTGAATGTTCCAAACTGTATTAAGGTTATTTTCTTTTTTCTATCATTTTGACTGAGTATTGGTGTTACAATTTACTCACATAATTGAACTAAACCGTCTGCCTCGTTGGCCGAGTGGTCGCAAGTGCGACTACTGGGCAAGGGGTCTCGGGTTCAATTCCCGGGTCGAGCAAAGTATTATTGGGTTTTTCACGGAGTCCGGAAATGTTCCCAGTATATGACAATAGGCTCACCCCCTATTACATGGGACTCATAACATAAATAGTGAAAAGTGGGTGTTACTTCTGTGTGCACCTCTGCCTACCCCTTCGGGGATAAAAGGCGTGATGTTATGTATGTTATGTAATTGAACCAAAGAAACTATAGAACTAAAGACTTCATTGGGATTGAAAAAGAGTACCTAACCTATGGGGTTTCTTTCTCATTCTTCTAGGAATTTTACACTTTGGACTGACTGACAGACTGACCCACTTCTTACTAATATTAAAATATAGTAAAAATTTGTGTGTATTTTTGTTACTCAATTAAGTCAAAGCGTCAAAATTTGAAACAGGGATAGATTATAGTCTGAAATAACACATGGGGAAACGCGGGCAAAGCCGCGGGCAGACGCTAGTTTTTAATATTTTATTTGACGTTCAAAATTGATTTTGACTTCGACTTTGTTTTGATTTTATCAAACTTGTTTTTATTGTGAAGATGTCGCTACATTTGCTATGCCAGGTACCAAGTCTCCAATGGTGCTGGTGGTGGGCGAGGAGATGGATGACGAGGTCAGCAGCGCATGCGGCTCCGCTGTCCACGCATACTCGGATATACACACTATGTCTCATGGTTAATATATCTTTTGTATTCGCACAGCATATAGCAAAACTTGCTAATTGGTGATGCCGATAATGATGCACGTTATTTAATAAATGTAGATAAAAAAGATAAAATGTTCGTTACCATATGATTTCTAATAGGTACAACGGCTTTAGAAGAAATTATGGCGGAGAAAAAGGAGGCTGGCAACTCAGACGTGCTGCCTCCTAAGGTGGCCATCATGAAACCTATACTACGATTCTTGCAGTTACTCTGTGAAAACCACAACCCGGACTTACAGGTATTTATAACACAACTTTATGGT